ATCAAAAGGGGCTACAAAGATACTGTGCAAATAATATATACCTTTCATGTTATTTTAATGGCCAAGAGTGCACGCATACATAATAAAGGCAAACAACTAATTATACACAAGCATTATGTATGTACTAGTTTTCTAATATTAAAAATGGCATATGTTCTTACAGAGCTAGGCACTACACTTTATATAAATTAAATATTTTTTCTCATTGAAAATAGTTTAATATATCAATTATTAGTAGTTGGATACATGTGAAAACATATAAATGCCGAGATCTATAACAATTTTATAATTTTCTTTACAGTAAGCTAAATTTAAGGAAAAATAAGTGATAACATAAAATGCACTATTATTTTACGCTAATAGGGTAAATTGTATAGACAACGTATAATACTATCACGTGAATTACATTAAAAGCTCTCTTATTCATTAAGTTATTGAGGCAGAAGGATTTAATTTACATAAAAATTTGGTAAAATATTGCTTTTACTTACACTTTATCAGCCAGCTCCCTCACTTTCCACATACTTATAAAACGATCCATTGTGCACCAGTATTGACAGATATGGTTATTTAACAAAAAATCACTGTAGTTTCATGAAAAATAACATAAAAATTAACTTAAAACGCGAGCTGATGATTTGGCTGACATTATTGCAAAATGGCGAGTAAAATATTGCCAGTATAAAAATCTCTTGTTGAATTGAACAAATTAAGTGTCATTACCATAAGTTGGACTCGTACGGCTGTATTTTCGCCAGTGTCTAAGAACAAAAAATTATACTTTAAATTTTGTTTGAAGCCTTCTTTACAATATGTTAATGCGTCACATTGCTGTTTTTGGGAGATTTTGCTTCAGCTTGAATCAACTTTTTGTCGACGACACACTTGTGCATATTTGCATGAATAGATCAGATAAATATAAAATAAGCACAACTTTTACATATTAAAATCCATTTCATATCATTTATACTAATGTTAAACACTCGCTACCTGCGGTGCTATAAATTATCGGTACGCTAGGGACAGATGCGGGCGGTGCGTCACTTATCGATAACCGCTTATTGATTCCTAGAAGAATGAAAAATAGCGTGCGCTGGCACTACAAGAAGATTTGCAGAAAGCACATTTGGGTGAGTGCCTTGTCATTAGCGTAGGTGACAATACCGACTTTACTTTCATTTTATTTAGTCTTAAGTATGTATTTTGGCAAATAATAACTGTAGTTATTGAATAGTGTTATTTTGCATTCTTTAATTTTTCACAATTTAAACATCAAAACGACATTGGTGCGTCACTATGCCTGCCCTAAGTTTAAAGCCGTATGGCCTATGAGTGTGACAGAGAGCGCAACAGGTGGTGTTCTGTTTCCCCATTTTATTTTATTACACCGCGGGCAGCGAGTGATTAACACTCTATTTACTCTCCAGTATATAAACAGTAATCTATGGATTAACATTTGCATAAACAACAACTTCCTGTATAGGACAGTTACCAAACAGTTACTATACTCTTTGACAACAACACAGGAACAGCAGTATGCCCAAAGAGTATAGTATGCCGGCGATCAAGGTCCCGCCTAAGTTCCACGTACATAATATGTATGCTTGTAATTATTCTGAACATTATACAAAAACTTTAAAAACACTACGTATGTCAATAAAAATAATATTATGATCTAAGTAGCTCAAGCATACAAACAGAAACTACTTTTTTTTTCATAATATAAGCTAGTGTTTGATTACTATCCCACCTAATGTAAATGACGACGCAGCCGTCTAAAACACAGACATATTGATTTGAAACCATGTTTGATAAAAATAAATTTCGTTCATATTTTATAAATTCAGTACCTAAATATGATTAGAGGAAAGAAACGTTAGACATTAATTTAGCTATTGTATGATTAATAATAATGTAATAAAATGCATTTAACTATCACGTTTTAGCTGTAATATTTCAATACCTTCTAACTTTGGTCTGTATATGTAAAGGTCAACATTTGCTACAATTATTCTTGGAATTGGACACAAGCTGCAGAAAAAATACAAAATTGGGAAAAGCGGCAACTGACTACCCCTAACTCTATGGGACAAGCCTAGCTCAGCCTAGCCTAGCAGTCGCAGTACCACTTTCATTACAGCTCTCATCGTCTTCACAAGTCCACTGCAAAACTTTGCCACCCCTAAGCCATGTTCTAAAACACGCTCCTCAACCATCCATCGACTTCTTGCATGTCTTACCAGGTTGTCACTTCTTCCCCATCATTTGTTGGCGTTCATTGTTGTCGTATTGCCACTTTATCTATGCTGTTATAGAATGGCGAATGAACCTGCTAATTATGATTTTTTTTTTACTTTTGATTGATTTTATCGTGGTTATATACATAATATATAATTAATCAAGAGATATTGCAAAATATTTAAAAGTTTCATTTATATTAGCGATTTCCTTTAAACTTATTGCGTCTGTAATATCTGCAATCGCATCCTAACGTGCTATTATTTTTTACCGACTTCAAAAAGAAGCCGGTACTCAATTCAATTGTATATTTTTTATGTGTGTTACCTCATAACTTTTTACTGGGTGAATCGATTTCGATTATTCTTTTTTTATTGAAAGCTGGTGCTTCTCATGTGTTTCCATATAATTTGATCAAGGTCTGACTAATAGCTTTTGAGTTTTTTTTTTATAGGATAAGGGTGACATACGAGCACACAGTCCACCTGATGGTAAGTGGTTGCTGCGGCCCATAGACATCTACATCTATCCTCTATTAGAAATCAAAATATAGATGCGTTGTCACCCGTGGGGACTAAGATGGAATGCCTCATTTCCAGTAAAAAGGGCCTCCGGCCACCTGCACTCACTAATCGAAACGCAGAGGTAAACCTCTACTTCACGCTGGTTTTCTGTGAGGTCGTGGTACCACCCCGGTTCGAGCCGGCCCATCCGTGCGACAGCAAAAGCTGCCGCGTGGCTCTACCACTGTTAGTTATTCTTAATAATTAATATTGAAGTCAGTTGCACAAAATTTTTAATTTGAAATTATTAATACTAGTACCGAATCTGGTGTATTTCCTGATTTATTGAGACATTACTTTAGCATGTTTACTAAATTCACATTTTTTTGAATCTAGTAAAACATGGAGCATTAGACCCCATTAATTTAAACCTATTTACGTATTTCGAACACTTACAAAAATTTAATGTTAATAAATTACTGCACAAAAATCAGTTTGCAATTATTATATCGGGTTAGGGTCGCTCCAGAACTAGCGCCGGTGTAGATCTGTGCATGGGAGAACTCAAAAGATGGTTTAGGAATATTTTGTCCTTAATAAGGCTTTCGACAGACTTCATCATGAAATAATAATCAGGAAATTACTTCATTATGGTGTATAAAAATATCGCTTAAACATATTACATTATCATATTTAAATAATGGAACGCAAACAGTTATTATCATGAGGACAGTTCTTCCGGGTCGGTAGTATCTATCTATGGGTGCCCCTCCGGGCTTAATTCTTGGCCTCTTTCGGTCCTTAGTTTATTTAAATGATTTAACTTTTCTTGTTAGGGAATAAGAATGATATAGTTTTATTTGCTGATAACACTTCGTTGATTTTTAGACTTAAACGAAAATTGTTAAAATGTATCGAAGTGAATAATGCTATATCAAAATATCAAATACATTCGCTTAACGTCAGCAATTAGCTTTTGAATGGTAATAAAACGAAATGTACTAAATTCAGAACCAAGTCTTGCTGAATCCACTGTTTTTCTCGTAATTACAATTGACGCGAAGTTTCATTGCGCACATATACTTTCAGCTTTCTATTTTCCTGAAATTTAACTTTGTAGAACGGTAAATAAATTTTCTATGGAAGTTCAAAGTGTGTATACATTTTTTTGAAGCACTCGGTATATAGCTGTAAAATTAAATTCTGCAGCATATATTGTAAAATATTAGATGCGTTGAAACAGCTAGATTAGTTTTAGTTATTAAAAAATCAGAGCATAATATCGTGTGGAATCTTGCTATTGCATGAAGTGATTGAGATTGAAACTATCTTTGTTATGCAGAAGAGAGCCATAGAAGCAATTTATAACCTAAGTCCGAAGGCATCTCTTAAAATAAATTAATTTAATTTACTGTTTTTTTTTCTCAGGACAAAGGTTTTTTCCGAACCACTAGTACATAAATAACTTTCAATTACTATTATTAGTTTGATATTCGTGAAATTAGAAGATTTATGAAAAAGTTAAATGTATAAAAAAAAAGAATACAACACAGGCATTATTTTGTGTATAAACATGTAGAAACAATAAATATTATAATTAAATCGCAACTTTTCAATGATGATGATACTATGTAACCATCTGCATAACACAAGACATTTGGTGAGCATAAGATTATCAGCCCTATATATCCCTTTCCCAAATTTCATCTAAACACGCTCAGCCTTTACGAAGAAACCAGACGATAAGCATCGTCTGGTTTCTTTAAATTGGTGTCTCTGGGTTGTGTAGAGTAAGGTTCTCAATAATTTTCAAATAAAACAATCAAATTTAATAATAAATGTGCAAATATTTATTTTCCATGTAGCAACCCAGACCTACTGTCTCTATCTCATATTTTATTAATTATAAAGATTGAATACAAGGCCTTTCAACCAGTCAACCATATGTAGAGGAAGACAAAATGTTGTATGTTCGAAACTATTTCGTACTTTTTTGCTTTATCGACTAAATCGAGACTAAACTCGAATGACATAAATATTCATAATATCAAGGACGTAAAGTTACATGTATTGCAAAAACTTCCTCTGACACTTAAAATATAACCAATTCAAATCTAGCTTTCATACAGCAAACAAACTCGTCTTCGATGTTATAAGTATAGCGATTCCTATAGATCATTCTTCACGTTCGAAAGTTGGAGACATAATTCTCGCCGCCATTTTACTTCTAATGGGACGGACCCATTAGAAGGTCATACATCATTTTTTCGCCAGCTGATCGTTTTGGGGTTGAGCACCATACTGCCAGAGTTCTATCGCCTTGTTTGCGACCACTTCTTCACATTGTTCTGGGATCTGGAAGTTATAGACAAAATTAATATGTAAAACCAAATAGAAACTACGCTTATTAGGTGGTGGGGCTGTTTTTCTTCCTAGGAGTCAGTCGTAAAGTACCAGTTCTTAAAGTTTCATCACAATCGGTTCAGCCATTCTGGAGATTTTATCCGGACAGAGACAGACAGACAAACGTTGAAATAACCGGCCATATGCGAGTCGTAAAATGGTATATATAATGTTTGTGTGTTTGAGAATATAGATATTGTAAAACTCGTTTCTAGGAGCCCCCTTTAATTTTGATTTTTATTATTTGTTGTTATAGCGGCAACAGAAATGATATTCTGTGCAAATTTCAACTGTCTATTACGGATCATGAGATACAGCCCGCTGACTGGCAGACAGACAGACAGCGGAGGCTTAGTAATAGGGTACTGTTGGTTACCCTTTGGGTACGAAACCCTAAAAATGATTGTTCATATCTTAATGGCATGTAAATAGCCCCCCGAGCTGTACAGAAGCTGGTTAATTCTATTTTACAGACATAATTATATACATAATACAATGTCAATTTTTATTATGCTAGGTTTAACAAAATAATAGCAGTAGCCAGGGGACTGGCAAGTGTAGAGTAAGAGTTATTTCCACACTTTTGTCCTCAAGATGATCTATTTTAACCGACTTAAAAAAGGAGGAGGTACTCAATTCGAATGTATGTTTTTTGTGTGTTACTTCAGAACTTTTTTCTAGGTGAACCAATTTTGATGATTCTTTTCTTTTTTACTTGAAAGCTGGCACTTCTCATGTGATCCCATATAAATTTGATCAAGATCTGACCAGTAGTTTTATGAGTTATCCTTAAGTTAAAGTAACAGCCTATATACGGCCCACTGCTGGGCACAGGCCTCCCTTGAGTTATTATTCTGAGTTATCCTTAACAATGCGTATTTAATTGACTTCAACTACATTGATGATGTCTTCATATTATTGGAACGAAGTTCCTTATCGCACGGTACGAATTTGGCGGATGGAGGCTAGGCGAGAAAAATGTAAGATTTTTCCGTCACAACCCCATTCTATAGTGCGAGCGAGATGGAATAATATCTATCTCCCTCTCACTTTTTCTTATCTTGCCATGAAAGAAATATTATTTTAAATGACGCTTCATTTTAATAGACTGTAGTAATTCATTTATTTGTATTTGTTAATCAATAATATAATACGTTTATCAATAATAATATACGAAGAAAAGAACTTCATGCCAATCGAGTGTTCCACAACAACACATGTTTTTTTCCGTACCTCCGGGTTCCGTACCTCAAAAGGAAAAAACGGAACCCTTATAGGATCACTTTATTGTCCATCTGTCTGTCTGTCACGACCTTTTTTCTCAGGAACGCATGGAGGTATCAAGCTGAAATTCATATCAAATTCTCAAGTCTACTGTCCCTTGGAGCTGTGAAAAAATGAAACTTCTAAGCCAACGCAATCAAAAGATACAGCCGTTTATGCCGCAAATTTTCGACATTCGCAAGGGAATCAAAACCTATAGGATACTTCCCGTGAACTCAGAATCTTAAAATTTGGTACGAAGCAATGTATAAAGGAAAAATTGCGAAAAGCATAAATTTTTAGTTACATCATATAATAAAAATATTTTTAATAATTTTAAATTTATATACCTACGGATTTGTTCCGTACCCTCGGTGCACGAGTCTGACTCGTACTTGGCCGGTTTTTTTTTATATTGAAGTCGGTTGTACAAATCTTTTAATTTTACCAATTCTTATAGTTGGTATTTTCAATAAAATTTCCTTATCAAGATTTTCTTAATTTGGTATTGGATTATTTGAACTGTAACGTATCATAAGATCATAACCATAACTACGATTTTCATGATTAGACATTTTGTTTTTCGTTGACCTCATCCCTAATGATGATATTTGGAAAGAAAGAAAGAAGAAACAATTTTTAACATCCCTATCTTTATTTATTCTGTTTTCCATATTCGTATCGCCGTGTAGTGGCGGTCAAGAATATCCACTACCCCATATCTTCCCGTGGGTGTCGTAAAAGGCGACAAAGGGAAACACAGGAGATGGGCAGCAGCATCTTCCTGATAGTAGCCGAAATTACGACCTGACAACATACAACGCGCGCACCCTGAGGACTGACGAGAAGATCGTGGAGCTGGTAGAAGAGATAGGCAAATTACGCTGGCATATTATAGGATTATCCGAAGTCCGAAGGGAGAGGGAGGACACGGTAATCATTGAATCCGGCAACTTGCTCTATCACCGGGAGGGCGACCATCTGTCCCAAGGAGGTGTCGGATTTATCGTCCACAAGTTTCTCGTTAACAACGTTGTAAAGATCGAGAGTGTGTCGACGAGGGTTGCGTACCTTATACTCAGAATCACCAAACGGTATTCGCTGAAGGTCATACAGGTTTACGCACCAACCTCGGCAGACCCCGATGAGGAGGTGGAGGAAATGTATGAGGATATCTCAAGAGATCTCTAGAGCCATGCATTCCTCTAAAACCCAATATACGGTGTTAATGGGAGACTTCAATGCGAAAGTAGGCACAAGAGAGAACGGTGAGCTGAAAGTAGGGAAATTTGGAATAGGGCAACGGAACCCAAGGGGCCAGCAGCTGGCCGACTTCATGAAGAAAGAGGGACTCTTTATGATGAACTCTTCTTCCACAAGCGGCCCCACAGGAAGTGGACCTGGTCGAGCCCCGACGGTTCGACAAAAAATGATATTGATTTCATTATGACGACCAGACGACAAACCGGCAGCGATCACCGAATGGTTAGAGGCAGACTGAACCTAAACGTTAAGTTGGAGAGGTCTCGTCTAATGAAGTCAACGCTCTGTCTCCCTCGTGCTCTAATCCGAAGTCCCGAAACCTTTCAGCTCGAGTTACATAACCGTTTTCAGTGCCTAGAAGACTGCAATGAAGTGGACGATATGAATGACAAGCTCGTGGAAACTGTCCATGCGGTCGGAGCTAAGTTTTGCAAAACCCGCCGCAGAAGAACACAAACACTTTTCGATCACACCCTCAATCTCATGGCTGTTAGACGGGAGATGAAGCTACATTCTTCAACAGATTTGACAGCATACAGGCAACTGAACAGACAGATCTCCAAATGCATGCGGCGGGACTTACGCAACTTCAATACAGCTTGTATTGAAGAACCGATCGAGCGGAACCAAGGCTCCAAAGTCTTTGTCAGAGATCTGTCTGCCAGAAAGAGCCAACTGTCAAAGCTCAGGACCGAGTGTAGCAGCATCGTTTCCGGGGCACCTGAGATTTTGAGTGAGATTCAGAGGTTCTATGGGCAGCTGTACACGTCATCGTTGGAGCCACACGCAAGTGTGAGTAACGATCCAAAAGCGAGTCTTATCCGACACTATTCCGAAGATATCTCGGACGTCAGTCTGAGCGAGATTAAAATGGCTCTTCAGCATCTTAAAAACGGCAAGGCCCCAGGCGAGGATGGAATTACAGCGGAGCTTCTGAAAGTGGGTGTAAAACCGGTACTTGAAGTCCTTCAGAGGCTCTTTAATTCCATCCTTCATGGTGGCATTACACCGGAGGAGTGGAGCAGAAGTGCGGTGGTCTAGTTCTTCAAGAAAGGTGACAACGCTCTCTTGAAGAACTACAGACCGATTTCCCTTCTGAGCCGCGTCTACGTGCTGTTTTAGAGAGTCATTACGAATCGTCTCGCGCGCAGACTTGACGACTTCCAGCCTCCCGAACAAGCCGGTTTCCGAAAGGGCTTTAGCACCATAGACCACATACATACCCTTCGGCAAGTTGTACAGAAGTCCGAGGAGTACAATTTGCCACTATGCCTGGCGTATGTGGACTATGAGAAAGCCTTTGATTCCGTCGAAATTTGGACGGTGCTGCAGTCCCTTCAGCGGTGCCAAGTAGACTGTCGGTATATTGAAGTGCTTGTACAGTAGGGCTACGATGGCTATCCGAGTACAGAACCAGAGTACGAAACCTATCCAATTGCAGAGAGGTGTAAGACAGGGTGACGTTATATCCCCGAAACTCTTCACCGCTGCATTGGAAGACGTTTTCAAGCTTCTGGACTGGAAAGGATACGGTATTAACATCAATGGCGAGTACATCACTCACCTTCGATTTGCCGACGATATAGTCCTTATGGCAGAATCGCTGGAGGATCTAAGCACCATAATCAATGACCTCAATAGTGCCTCCCAATGGATAGGTCTTAAGATGAACATGGACAAAACAAAGATCATGTTCAATGTCCATGTCACACCTTTGCCGGTAGTTGTTTGGAGCACTAAGCTCGAATTTGTTGACGAGTATGTTTACCTGGGACAAATAGTCCGACTAGGTAAGTCCAACTTCGACCGAGAGGTCAAAGGTCGGATTCAACTCGGCTGGGCAGCGTTCGGGAAACTACGACACATCTTCTCGTCAGACATTCCTCAAAACCTTAAAACGAAATTGTGCAACCAGTGCGTGTTGCCAGTGATGACTTACGGATCTGAGACGTGGTCCTTCATTGCTGGCCGTATGAGGAAGCTCAAGGTCGCTCAGCGAGCTATGGCGAGGGCTATGCTCGGAGTTTCTCTGCGTGATAAACTTAGAAATGAGGATATCCGCAGTAGAACCAGAGTGACCGACATAGCCCAACGGATTAGTAAGCTGAAGTGGCAGTGGGCCGGCCATATAGCTCGAAGAACTGACAACCGATGGGGAAGAAAGGTTCTTGAGTGGCAGCCTCGTACCGGTAGGCGAAGTGTAGGGCGACGCCCCCACGAGATGGAGTGACGACCTGGTAAGACATGCAGGAAGTCGATGGATGCAGGTGGCTCAGGACCGTGCTTTGTGGCATTCCTTGGGGGAGGCCTATGTTCAGCAGAGGACTTATGAAAGGCTGTAATGATGATGATGAATGATGATTCGTGTTGCCCACACCAATATAATCCTTGTCAGTTCGAAGCGTTTATTGCTTTGGCAACTTTTAAATTTCGACAATACCTAGAAGGCTTTCTATGCATCACATTCGTATAGATCAGGGGTCCCCAAAGTTATGCAAGTTAGGCCCCCTGCTAACAAAAATGTTTCGCTTCCCTTGCCGCATTTTACTTTACATCTACTTTGGGTTTTTTTTTTATGAGAGTTTACTCTGACGGTGGGTGAACAAGCAGATGATACTAAGCGTTAGGTTAATAAGCATTAGGTTGCACTTGATATTAAGCATTAGGTTTCTGTCTACTTGAGTTAGGGAAGACCCACGTCTTATCGCATTACACCCGTCACCGTGAGATGAGAAGGTAAAATGACTCATGTGCCTGTAACTCAGAGTAAGTTTTCTGTTACAAGATAGGTAATAAGGGTGAGAAGTCTATAGATATCAACCTACATACGATGTTATCTGCATATACCCAGAAGAAATTAATCTAATTTAAAGTTCAATTTGTCCCATATACCTTAAACAAACAGATATCACAGAAACGCGCTTCCGCTAAATGTATTGCACACTGTTCTAACGTGAAGCGGAACGAGTATTTAGGATATATCATAGAACTTTATAACTTGTCGGGTACATGTTCATCGTCCACGTCATGATCATGGTCATCGTTATGGTCATGATCATGGCCACCGTCATTGTTATCCTTATAGTCATCATGGTCATCGTCATGATCATCGTCGTCGTCATTTTCACGGTCATCGTTATCGACATTGTCAACGTCATGGTCATTGTCATCGTAATCGTCGTCCTCGTCATGATCATGGTCATCGTTATGGTCATGATCATCGTCATGATCATGGCCACCGTCATTGTTATCCTTATCGTCATCATGGTTATCGTCATGATCATCGTCGTCGTCATTTTCATGGTCATCGTTATCGACATTGTCATCGTCATGGACATTGTCATCGTCATGATCATTGTCATCGTAATCGTCGTCCTCGTCATGATCATGGTCATCGTTATGGTCATGATCATTGTCATCGTAATCTTCATCGTCATCGTCATGATCATGGCCACCGTCATTGTTACCCTTATCGTCATCATGGTCATCGTCATGATCATCGCCGTCGTCATTTTCATGGTCATCGTTATCGATATTGTCATGGTCATTGTCATCGTAATCGTCGTCCTCGTCATGATCATGGCCATCGTCATGGCTATGGTCATGGCCATTCTCATCGTCATAGTCATCGCCCTCGTAATCGTCATCGTCCTCGTCATGATCATGGTCATCGTTATCATCATTGTCATGGTCATTCTTATCAACGTCGTCATGGTCATCGTCCTCGTCTTTATCATGGTCATCATTGTCGACATTGTCATCGTAATTGTCATGATCATGGCCATCGACATGGTCATCCTTATCGTCATGGTCATCATCCTCGTCATGATCATGGTCATCGTTATCGTCATTGTCATCGTACTATGCTCATTTTCATCGTAATCGTCATCGTCCTCGTCATGATCATGGACATCGTTATCGTAATTGTCATTGTCATGGATATTGTCATCGTAATCGTCATCGTCCTCGTCATGTTCATGACCATCATCATGGTCATCCTTATCGACATCGTCATGGTCATAATCATCGTTATAGTCATGATCTACGTCATCGTCCCCTTTTATGGGTCTGTCCCTTATTTATAAAACCCCTGATAAAGATGTATATTTTTCAAAGGTCAAAAACAAACAATTATTTCATTAGTATGCATACCTCAGAAACACACTTCAGTACTTCGTCGCCATTTTGTGCTTTCAATATGTTCCTTCGTAACGTAATTACAAGCATCACAGCCACGAACGACAGAATCTTCGGTGCACCGCTGCATACCTTGTCCCAAATCCTTTATAAAAATACTTTTATAAATATTACAAAGATAACATTTATATTTATAAAAAAATAAATTAAATACAAAATATATATCTGTAATTTGGCATTTTTATTTTATTTTTCTGAGTATGGTATCCACCAAATGAAGTGACAACCTCATGAAACATGCATAGAGTCAATAGATGCAGATCGAACAGGAGTCTTGTTTGATCTACATCTATTTTAATGCTTAAATTTTTTTATAGAGGCATAAAAAATATATATAAGGGTGCCATCGAACACACAGTCCACCTGATGGTAAGTGGATGCTATGGCCCATAGACATCTTCATTTATCCTCGATAAAGAATCAAAGTGCATATGTGTTGTGACCTATGAGGACTAAGATGAAATGCCTTGTCAACAATGAAAAGTGGTTCCAACAAATAAAACAAAATATTATGGTGATATTTTGCTATAAGATTTTTTTATTTAAAAAAAAAAGTTACTCCCACACTAGAATTTTCTCCTGTATTGCGCAGGCAGTTTACAAACATAAATTGCACATTGACAAACATCCAGACCCAGAACAATTATTTATAGTCCATACAAATACTTGTTCCGTGTGAGATTCGAACCCGTGACCCCCAGCGCTACAACTCATTGCTAAGCAACTGTGCCACGGAGCCGTCTATCTATTTTAAAGTAATACATACTTACTTTGGCAATGAGGTATCATCGAGCACTCCAGCAAAACAACAATTGAACCATTTAGTTAGGGGTAACACTTCCAATGCATTGATTTCCACAAGGTGACTGCAAAGAAAGAAACAAAATATATTTTTTTACTAGAAATCCCATGTGGACCTACCGGGGACTTTTAGGTCCTATGTTTATGTAGGACTCATTATAAAAAAAGAGATAGTGTCAACTGTGCTTCTTGCCTAGCGTGGCGTAAAAGGTGACAGATGGGATATATTTTTTTTATTAGGATGGTACAGGCATTGAAGTCTCTGTATAGGGACTCCAGTGCTTGTGTCAGGATCAACTGGGCCTATTCGGACTGGTTTGGCATCCATAAAGGTGTCAGACAGGGTTGTGGGGCTTTCCCGTGGCTGTTCAACCTATTTATGAACAGTTGTTTGGAAAATTTGAAAATTGAAGAATGCTTTTTGTATGCCGATGATCAACTCATACTTGCGTCGTCGGCAGCCGAGTTGTAAATTATGGTTACATTAATGAACAGGACATTAAAAGAAAAGGGAATGAAAGTGAACGCAAGTAAGACGAAAGTTATGGTTTTTGAAAGAGAAGAAAGTAAAACAATATGTGAAATAAGAATAGAAGGGGAGTTAGTCGAGCAAGTGGATGAGTTGTGTATTTGGGATGTGTATTTCGCAGGGATGGTAGATATGATAAGGATATAGATCGACGAGTGAACGCAGGAAATGGGGCTCGACACTCTATTGTGGGAAGTCAGAATGTGTCCAAAAAGGCATGTATGGTAATACACAAAGCTGTCTTAGTTCCTACTTTAATGTATGGTATTGATTCGATCTCGCGCTGCTGTGTTTGTCGGTTCTGTGTTAACATATTTTAATACGTGTGGTAACTACCCCCTAAATAAAATATTAATACGAAAACATAATGACTAAATGTGATATCTGCTACAAAGTTATAACCACCAAGATACCTGGACTGGAATGTAGATCTTGTGGTAAGGTGGTTCATGCTAGTAAAGCTTGCTGTGGTCTAAACGCGAAGCAACTTTCTGCGCTTCGTAATGCGGACAGACTAGACTGGACGTGTGACGAATGCCATCAAAATACACCTAACAGAAAATCATCCTTTATTATACCGGAAGAAGATGATGAAGATGATGATGTCGTAGTCTCTGACAAAAACTCAGGCAACTGTATGATAGACACAGAGAAGTTTTTAAAGGAAATCACAGCAGAAATGAAAAAAGTTTAAAAAAAAGAACTACAACCAATCGAAACATCTGTGAGCTTCTGTTGTGCAAAAATTGACGATCTTTTCAAAACTGTGGAAGCTCAAAACCAACATATTCAGGAATTAGAAAAGAAGTACAACCATCTACATAACGAAAAAACTCATCTTGAGCTTGAAATGAGTTCACTGAAACAATATCTACGTAATATTGAACAACAGCGTCTAGATAATGTGATAGAAGTGATAGGAATCCCTAAAGCTAAAGACGAAAATCTTGAAAACATATCTCTCAAGCTAGCTGAGACACTCAACATGGACAGGACGCAGGTAATTAATATTACACGTGTTGAAAGTCGAAATATTCAAGACGGAAACATCCAGTTGCAGCTCAAGCATGTAGAACACGCAAGTTTATGGGTGCGAGCCTCCAAACAGGAAGAACTAGTGGTAGAACAAATCATTCCTGAGGCTCCCGTGGAAGTTGCTAAGATGAAAGTGACCATGCGACGCGCCCTGACTAAAGCTAATAAGTCATTATTATGGCTAGCACAACAAAAATTAAGACCGGCGTACAAATATGTCTGGTTCCAAGATGGAAAGGTACTACTCCGTAAAGATGACAAAGCCAAGCCTGAAGTCGCCCGAAGCGAAGCTGACATTGAGAAGCTCTCAGCACAAACAAAAATAATCGGCCACAGTTTTAATCGGTAATAGATTTCAAAATTAGTCACCCAGGTTCTCTTTTCCGATCATCAAGAAATATTAGATTGTGCTGATATTAATAACTTTTGTAGGCATATACCCCCCATTTATAAAAACCATCTTAATATTGTCCATATAAACGTAAGATCGTTGATTAAAAATTTTTGCTATGTAACACAGTTAATTAACTCTTCTAAAATGATTATTGATATTTTAATCTTAAGTGAAGTAAATATAAATGATAATATAGTTTCTATGTTTAATATAAATGGCTATAGAATGCACAGTATGCTACGTAAAAATAGAAAAGGCGGTGGTATAATTCTATATGCCAGAGATGTCCACTCATTCGCGCCAGTAAGTCACTCATTAATATACTGTGAGACTATTATTGGTAAGATCACTACGCCTTACAAATACTCCGCTTACATCTGTGCTGTTTATAGACCACCAAGTCAGAGTAAGCACCTATTTGTAAAGGAAATAAGTAGCCTACTATCAAATTCTATGTTTCAACTATGTGACACTTATCTCTTGGGCGACGTTAACATAGACTTAAAAACATGCGACAACATACGAGACTACTACATTAGTAGTATGTCCGAGTGCGGTCTAACAAGCGCGATATCGGATTACACAAGAATTGAAATACGCGGTAATAACACGACTCGCAGCTGCATAGATCACATTTTTACTCGTACGCGCTCGTTAGACCTTTACACGGCTGCGCTCGGAACTGTAATGGCTGACCATCGTATGATTATACTCTCGTGCGTAGGATTCGACCAAACACAAATACAGAATGATACAAAAATAATCCAACAAATTAATAATTATAAAATTAAAAATTTACTTAATAATCTAGATTGGACCGAAGTAAAAGATATAGAGTGTCCAAGTAAAATTTACGATTGTATCAAAAATAAATTAAATGGTTGTTATAGTGATTCAAAATATATAAGAAAAATAAATAAAATTAGTAAGAGAAATAAATATCCTTGGATAAATTGTAGAATCTTAGAAATCTATGGCAAATTTTGAATACACTATCTGGTCGAAACAAAAACTCAATTGATGAGGCAATATTAAAAGCATTTAATAAGAACAATATTGACACAAAATCAATAGCTAATAACTTTGCAACAGAATTTAGAAATTGTGTAAAAAAAATCTTACCGAAATGTAACCAAAGGCTTCTAGATGAATCAGAATATATGTTCCCCGAAAATAAATCTATGTATTTCAAAAGAGCCTCAACCAAAAGTGTGATGAAGATTGTGAAAAACCTTAAAACCAATAAAGCTCCTGGTATGGATAATATCCGATGTGTCGACATACAATCTATCTGTGATAAGATGATAGGAGTTATTGTCAAATTAATAAATAATAGTATACATCAAGCAAAGTACCCAGATGAATTAAAAATAGGTATTGTGAGACCGATTTATAAAAAAGGCAGTCACAGTGATTATGCCAATTACAGACCAATTACTATCCTACCAGTCATTGACAAGATAGTAGAAAAATACGTCTGTAATCAGATACAAGACTTTTACATTAAAAATGACATCTTATCTAACTCACAATATGGTTTCCAACCTAACAAATCTACCTCTAAGCTGCTATCAAAATTTACAAATGATGTAAACAAATTTCTAGATGACAAAAACCACGTTATCCTGCTATTCATAGATTTCAGCAAAGCGTTTGATACGCTTCGACACGATACGCTCTTGACAAAACTAGAGAATACCGGTGTACGTGGCCCGATTTTAAAGTGGTGCAAAGACTACCTCTATAATCGTAAATATAAAGTTAAAATCTGTGATGAAGTTAGTGATGCTATCGATGTTACTGAAGGAACAGCTCAAGGTTCGGTGCTTGGACCCTTGCACTATTTAGCATATGTTAACGATATGGAACATGTCGTCAACCATTGTTCAGTTTATCAATACGCGGACGACACGTGTATTTTGGCTACCAGCAAGGACCTAAAAGAAGCAGCGCAATGGCTACAACAAGATTTTACACAAATATCCAAATGGGCACATGATGCGGGACTTGTCTTGAATGCAAATAAAACCAAAATCATTCACGTTCACTCAAACTATATAAAACACAACACGGATTTTAAGGTGGTTGCTCACAGTCACAGATGTCTGCACAAATCAATTTCATCTAGGGCTTGTAAATGTGAGGCAATCGAACAAGTAACGCATCACACTTACTTAGGATTAATTGTAGATAATAGATTTAGCTGGAGATTTCACATAGATTCTGTCTGTGACAAATTACGAGCTATATTGGCTAAATTCTACATTTTAAAACCTAAAGTACCATATAATATCCTACTCAATATGTATAAGGCCTTAGCTGAGTCAATTATATCATACGGAATTTCAAGTTATGGACGAACCTTTAAGTCATATACCGAAAAAATATATAAACTACAACTAAGATTACTTAAACTTATTGTACCTCAAAAAATAAAACAAAAATATAAAGATAACTTATTAGACATTTTCAAATACTGCAATATATTACCCATGCAGATGAAATTTCACATGACCCTCTTAATTGAACAATTTAATAATAAAATCATCCAAGTGCCCATATCCCATAAAGTAATTACAAGAAATATTACCAAAGAAAAATTAAATGTGCCTAGGACCTCAAATTACTATGGTAGGCGAACAATAGAATTTTTAATTCCAACTCTTTTAAATAACATCACGCAAAACATCCAAAAAGAATTAAACACAAAAAACTATAAAGAAAAACTAAAAAAATACTATTATGATAATATAAAGAACTTTGTCTTATAAAATGAATCAGAATTATAGTTATTATTTAGTTGCTTATTAGTGAAACAACCTGTATATAATTAGTAGTATGCACTATCTAGTCTAGTAGAACAGGTTCCACAACAAAAGCAATGAGCGCTCAAGTCGGTGGCGCTCAATTCCGGAACGTCCCAAGTAAAAATTGCAAATGGGTGCTTACCACTTACACAAAAAGGAGGTATATTTTAATGTATATTTTTGATTACTGTTAAGATTAACTAATTATTTAATGTTAAGCAGTGCGGTAGTTGCGAATGTGAGTACCAATACAAACCATTTTTGGTTTAATGGTACAAATAAAAAAAAATATGTATGATAACTTTAATCAATAAATAAAAAAAAAAAAAAAGTTGGGTGTGGCAGAAGAAGCACGAGAGTAGAATAAATGCTGTAGAAATGCAGTCATTAAGGAGTATGTTAGGGCTGAATCTGAATGACAAGGTGAGAAATTGTGTGATAAGAGAAGAGTGTGGTTTGCAAGATGATGTTGTGACCAGGATTAAGAAAGGAATGCTTCGGTGGTTTGGTCATGTAGAAAGAATGAATGAGGAAAGAGAGACAAAGCAAATTTATGTTGCAGAGGTGAACGGCAGAGTCGGGAAGGGACGCCCTAGGCGAAAGTTTATAGACGAAATTGGTGATATATTAAAAATGGGCCAAAGTAAGATTACCTTTAACCGACGAGCATGTATGAGTAGGTATATGGATGTGGAGGAAGCGAGAAAGGTGTGTCAGGATCGTGCCAAATGGAAGTCCATAGTCTCTGCCTACCCCTCTGGGTGACAGGCGAGAGTGTTTATGTTTATATAAAACACCTATAAGTAGGCAGCAGAGTCTAAAGTGCGAGACGTACTGTGATTGTCAATCTACCAAACGTGATGATTAATTTTTTTTTAATGTTAGGGTGACAAACGAGCACACCGTCCACCTGATGTAAAATGAATGCTGTGGCCCATAGACATCTACATCTATCCTCTACAACTATACTACAAATATAGCTGCAGCATGGCTGTACCACATTTAAAAACTGTGTGCGCAATTGTAACCCTTTTTCTATAAAATAAAATAATTTCTTATTGCTAATATTACCACATATTAATTTACATACTTGTAGAGTTCTACATCTTCCTTTTCCAGCATGACCTGAAAGGCCTCTTTAAGCTTTGCGAGGTCTCTCTGCATATTTCTCACAATTTCTGTGAGGCTCTTGCATATCCAGTAGACGTCAACCTCATCATCATACAGCTCGAGTAATGTTCTGCATATAGGAATGAAGGTATCTGCTGACTGGAAGATAATATATTACATATAACTATTATAACAATCACCTCATTCCCAGGTTCATCCATGAATTTTATAATAATACTAGCTGGTACTCGGATAGTAGCTGCCATAAAAGATATAATTGTAGAAATATTGTTTTAAATTTGGAACAGTTATATTATTTTATTAGGAATGATAATAATAAATTCATTGAAATTTATGGGCTACTGTAAGTTAATTGTACTATGCCTCTAACCTTCTCGTAAGTGCCAATAAGTTGACAAAGTTTTTACCACAATCTGATGAATGGTATGGCAGCGCATAAAATACAAACAAAAAAATTAATTTTTATATATTAGATACTAGCTACTGGTACTTGGCGCGTTGCTGCCGCAGAAGAAATAATTGTGTAAATATTGTTTTAAATTTGAAAGAGTCATATTGTTTAATTAGGAATGCTAATCATTGTAATGGAACAATAAATATGATAAAATGACTTTGTTGGTACAATATGCGCGCCACCTAGTGTAAGTTAATTATACTGTGCCAATAAGTTGACAAAGTTTTGATGAACAGTATGGCAGCACATATAATACGAACAAACATACATTAATGTTTATATATTAGATGTACCCTTTTTATACAATCTTTGTTTGATAAAGTTTTTAAACATTGACTTGACAATAGTTAATTAACCTCAGGTTTTTTTTAATCATAGCAATAAATTAGGCAACATGCATTAAATAACAGGAATTGATAACCTAATCCTTTAATTTTTTTTTTATAGAAAATAGTACTAAACATTAGAAAAACATTTTAAGGTCCTCAAGAGCTACTCAACTGCCACCTCTCTTACTTAAAGTCTTACATTTAAATTGGTTTCTGGAAACATGGGGGGCTTCCTCTCTTCATTCTCTAATAGCCACATTGCAAGCAGGATCTGAGTCCTTGGAGCATTCATATTGGCCAATTCCAACATGTCCACAGCATATAGCAAATCTCCATATTGTTGCTTTCGTTGCTCCATCACAAATTGGTGGGAGTCAGCATAGACTGGCAGAATATCTGAAGATAATAATAATTTATAATCTGAAGATGATCAATATACATAATATATTGTATAGTAGCAGTGTAAGAGACAGAGAGAAATGAAACAAGAGATAGGCAGCAACATCTTTGTGACAAGTATAACAAATATAAGTTTTTATCCACCCCATAAGGCAATCTATGGGGGTGGCTTTAAAGTCTACAAGAGACTAAAAGTCATACCTTCAGGTATATTATCATATTCCCAGAAAAAATTGACAAGGCTTTACATATTACGATATAACAACATTACGAGTTGGATGGGTCATAATTGCAAGAGGTAGAAATCAAGTTTATTTCAAATTTATCTTAGAAAATTTTCTGTACTCAAGTGAAGTATGTAAACTTCAGTCCCATATTGCACGCATCTTGTTATCAGAGGAGTCGGCCAGTAGCACAACACAATAGGAGTGGGCGATACAAATCGTATATAGATACAATATCTATATATCAGTACAATATCCAACATCTATATATCCGATGACAAACTAACTATGTATTAGATATTACGATTTTACGATACGGTGTTGATATGAGTCATCGCAGAATATCTAATATCTACTCAAAACCGAAACGTAAAATATCTAAATAAATACACTGATTCGGATACCGAACAAACCTTGAGCGCGATAGAATATATAGCTAAAACAGATATTACGATTTACGACTACTTTACAACGAAAAGGTGATACGCTTACGCTTAATATTTTTAATATTAATCCTTATTAGTAGTACCATACGATTTATTAGAGAACACATAATTTTCAATATCCAGTCTAAGTAGTATTATTTTATTATTACTTTGTTGTGTTACACTGTTTTCAAAATAAACTATTTTAGATCTTATTGTGTATTTAATAGATTGTTATTTTTGGTATGTAAATTAAAACTGAGAAAATTATGAAGGAAAGTTTATTTCACCGATTCTGAAAAACTATACCCGCTCTCTAGATATGGGATAATTTCCTTTTGCGTAGGGATATAATATAACCACTAATCATAACCACAAGTGTGGCATAAAATATAAAGGTTTAATTTTATAGCAAATAAATGTTGCAATCCTTATTTTTAAACATGGAGAGCCTAAAGTTAAGTGTAATAAATTAAAATAATATTAAATATTTTTAAAATATTATTCTTTAGAGGAAAGGTGTAAAAAATCCTTTGTAAAAGCGCCACCTTTTAGATTCTATACGTAAAGTGATTTTATCGAACAAAAATTGATTAACGCTCAAGGTGGTACGTACATTATACGCTAGATGGCATAAACACGACACGATTAAATTTAATATTCTATTTCATTATCTCGCAGGATAAATCCTACTTTTTATATTATGAGATACGTTAAGAATACTTATATTACATAAATAATACAATATATCTATAAATCAATATATGGAAATTTGTTCATAAATCGCGTATCACAAATGTGATACTGAGTACTGACTTCTTTTCAGAACGAAGATATTAACAAATATATAGATATTGAAATATATAGATACAAAATCGGATTTTCATATCCAATACATAGGTACGATTTGATACAGGGTGAAAGTGATATTACCCATGCCTACAACACAATAAAACTGAAATATTTTAAAGTGTGAAAATAATGGAGTCGGTAAAAAAGTTCCTCACCTAATAATACCTTCCATACCAAATTTCTATAAGCAGCGGGCACCATAAATCGTAGACAAAATTGTTTTAACTTCACTTTATCCCATGGTTTTTCTTTCATAAGTATTTCTAATGATTTCTTTTCTTCAACACCACGGCATCCTACTTTTTCATAATACGACGAGCGAAAATTCCTTTCGTCTGTCATTTTTGCGGATTTTATTAAGACGTTATTTACAAGCAAACTATCTTAGGACATTCATTTGACTAGTAATCTCAGCAATAACACTGAGAATTCAGTGATTGATAAAGAAGATATCAAGTGCAAGAATCAAATAAATGCAAATGCAAAAACTAACTAGAAACTGTCCAATTATGATTTTGATTTTGAATGTGTCAAATGTCAATTGCTGCAGTCAGTATCAAATCAATGCTGTCAAATTGACAACAAACGTTCGAAAAATACATTTGCCGTATAATGGCGGTCAAGAATATCCACTACCCCATATCCTCCCGTGGGTGTCGTAAAAGGCGACAAAGGGAAACAGGCAGGAGATGGGCAGCAGCATCTTCCTGATAATAGCCAAAATTATAATAAAAAAAACTGCGGTTGCCAACCCGCTCGCTAAGCGTGGCAACTATGGCAAATACCCCCCCAATGACTAAAGCAACAAACAGACGGCCCCCAGTCCCCGGCGGCCCCGCTATTCCTGGCTACGGTGGCGACCATGGTAACGGCGGGGCAGGGGGTGCTAAGAATCTCCGGTGGAGGTTCGGTTGCCACCTTAGACGACTTGACCTGGCAACGTACAACGCACGCACCCTGAGGACTGACGAGAAGATTGTGGAGCTGGAAGAAGAGATAGACAAGTTGCGCTGGCATATCATAGGATTATCCGAAGTCCGAAGAGAGGGGGAGGACACGGTAATCCTCGAATCCGGCAACTTGTTCTATCACCGGGAGGGCGACCATCTGTCCCAAGGAGGTGTCGGATTTATCGTCCACAAGTCTCTCGTTAACAACGTTGTAAAGATCGGGAGTGTGTCGACGAGGGTTGCGTACCTTATACTCAGAATCACCAAACGGTATTCGCTGAAGGTCATACAGGTTTACGCACCAACCTCGGCACACCCCGATGAGGAGGTGGAGGAAATGTATGAGGATATCTCTAGAGCCATGCATTCCTCCAAAACCCAATATACGGTGTTAATGGGAGACTTCAATGCAAAACTAGGCACAAGAGAGAACGGTGAGCTGAAAGTAGGGAAATTTGGAATAGGGCAACGGAACCCAAGGGGCCAGCAGCTGGCCGACTTCATGGAGAAAGAGGGACTCTTTATGATGAACTCTTTCTTCCAGAAGCGGCCCCACAGGAAGTGGACCTGGTCGAGCCCCGACGGTTCGACAAAAAATGAGATTGACTTCATTATGACGACCAGACGACAACTGTTCAGTGATGTCTCCGTGATCGCGAGGGTGAAAACTGGTAGCGATCACCGAATGGTTAGAGGCACACTGAACCTAAACGTTAAGTTGGAGAGGTCTCGTCTAATGAAGTCAACGCTCCGTCCCCCTCGTGCTCTGTTCCAAAGTCCCGAAACCTTTCAGCTCGAGTTACAAAACCGTTTTCAGTGCCTAGAAGACTACAATGAAGTGGACGATATGAATGACAAGCTCGTGGAAACTGTCCATGCGGTCGGAGCTAAGTTCTGCAAGACCCGCCGCAGAAGAACACAAAAACTCTCCGATCACACTCTTAATCTCATGGCTGTTAGACGGGAGATGAGGCTACATTCTTCAACAGACTTGACAGCATACAGGCATCTGAACAGACAGATCTCCAAATGCATGCGGCGGGACTTACGCAACTTCAATACAGCTCGTATTGAAGAAGCGATCGAGCGGAACCAAGGCTCCAAAGTCTTGCCAGAGATCTGTCTGCCAGAAAGAACCAACTGTCAAAGCTGAAGACAGAATGCGGCAGCATCGTTTCCGGGACACCTGAGATTTTGAGTGAGATTGAGAGGTTCTATGGGCAGCTGTACACGTCATCGTTTGAGCCACACGCAAGTGTGAGTAACGATTCAAGAGCGAGTCTCATCCGACACTATTCCGAAGATATCCCGGACGTCAGTCTGAGCGAGATTAGAATGGCTCTCCAGCACCTTAAAAACGGTAAGGCCCCAGGCGAGGATGGAATTACAGCGGAGCTTCTGAAAGCGGGTGGAAGACCGGTACTTGAAGTCCTTCAGAAGCTCTTTAATTCCGTCCTCCATGGTGGCATTACACCGGAGGCGTGGAGCAGAAGTGCGGTGGTCTTGTTCTTCAAGAAAGGTGACAACGCTCTCTTGAAGACTACAGACCGATTTCCCTTCTGAGCTGCGTCTACGTGCTGTTTTCGAGAGTCATTACGAATCGTCTCGCGCGCAGACTTGACGACTTCCAGCCTCCCGAACAAGCCAGTTTCCGAAAGGGCTTTAGCACCATAGACCACATACATACCCTTCGGCAAATTGTACAGAAGTCCGAAGAGTACAATTTGCCACTATGTCTGGCGTATGTGGACTATGAGAAAGCCTTTGATTCCGTCGAAATTTGGGCGGTGCTGCAGTCCCTTCAGCGGTGCCAAGTTGATTGTCGGTATATCGAAGTGTTGAAGTGCTTGTACAGTAGGGCTACGATGGCTATCCGAGTACAGAATCAGAGTACGAAACCTATCCAATTGCAGAGAGGTGTAAGACAGGGTGACGTCATATCCCCGAAACTCTTCACCGCTGCATTGGAAGACGTTTTCAAGCTACTGGACTGGAAAGGATACGGTATCAACATCAATGGCGAGTACATCACTCACCTTCGATTTGCCGACGATATAGTCCTTATGGCAGAATCGCTGGAGGACCTAAGCACTATGCTCAATGACCTCGATAGTGTCTCCCAACGGATAGGTCTTAAGATGAACATGGACAAAACAAAGATCATGTTCAATGTCCATGTCACACCTATGCCGGTAGTTGTTGGGAGCACTAAGCTCGAAGTTGTTGACGAGTATGTTTACCTGGGACAAATAGTCCGACTAGGTAAGTCCAACTTCGACCGAGAGGTCAATCGACGGATTCAACTCGGCTGGGCAGCGTTCGGGAAGCTACGACACATCTTCTCATCAGACATACCTCAAAACCTGAAAACGAAATTGTACAACCAGTGCGTGTTGCCAGTGATGACTTACGGAACTGAGACGTGGTCCTTCACTGCTGGCCGTATGAGGAAGCTCAAGGTCGCTCAGCGAGCTATGGAGAGGGCTATGCTCGGAGTATGCTGAAGTGGCAGTGAGCCGGCCATATAGCTCGAAGAACCGACAACCGATGGGGAAGAAAGGTTCTCGAGTGGCAGCCTCGTACCGGTAGGCGAAGTGTAGGGCGTCCCCCCACTAGATGGAGTGACGACCTGGTAAGACATGCAGGAAGTCGATGGATGCAGGTGGCTCAGGACCGTGCTTTGTGGCATTCTTTGGGGGAGGCCTATGTTCAGCAGTGGACTTGTGAAGGGCTGTAATGATGATGATGATGTTCGAAAAATACCAAACAAATATAACAAATTATTATTAAAAGTAATATATGTAAAATTCACGACGAGGATATTTTCAGATTTTCACAGCTAAGATTAATAAATTTCATTCAAAGTATTGGCCTCAATACAAAGTATTATAATTTCGTGGCATCAACTCACAGGCATACACGTTTGTACATCTAAAGCCGCGTCTCCACCAAAGTTTTGTTGCCAACACAACAGTTACCAACACGTGTTGCCAACAAATGTTTCTGTAATCACCTAGTGTTGGCAACAAAACTAGAAACAATTGCGGGAATCGTGTTTCCATTTTCGGCGGCAACATCAGAGGAATACGATTGAACATCAAACGTTGTGGGACAGACGCACACACATCAGACACACCACAGATATCATAAAATGATATCTTTGCTTAATTCCCTTTTATCCATTTTTCTACCATCAAGCAGCAGTGCCTTTCTTTGCTATAGTTTCGCTTAATTAAAAAACATGAACCTTCAAGAACTAGCACCAGCACACGCTCACGCATATGCACTCGCAAATGTCCACAGATAAACATACGCTTTTGCACACGCACATGCACACACACACCACATTTTTGTTTAATATATTTTTAAGTCACTTTGGAAATGACCTGTGATTTTCAGTGTCGGATCATGTGGCCTTGGTTTTGAATTCCAAATTAATTGTTAGGTTTTTCTGTTAGGAAGTTCTAAGTTTTGGTGTTTCACCCCCGTGCCTAGGGAGTGGTTGTGTACTATAATCTTGTTCTGCACAGATGGATATATATTCCTTTGAGACTGGCCACCGTGAATGACATTCGGTTTTAAGTTTGAAGGACGGAGGATTAAGGGACATTATTATTATTAATAATAAGTGCACTGACTTAGCTTAACAAAAGTCTATATTTCAGTTACCGTAGAACACTTAAGTGTGCTGTTTAATGGAAAAGTTAGATCCATAGTTATTATAGCGTCATAATATAAGAAATCATGACAGCGTAATAACTGAACATTTTTACAATACTTTAGCTGAACGTACGCGTATGCAATAGTGTTGAAATTTCATCTGATTATTTCAGTACAGTTAGATAATGCAGTCAAAACTTAAGCTCATTATCATGGCGTGGTGTGGAACGAAGGATAACGAGCTAGCGCTTCGAGATTTATAGCGTGTTATTTAAGTGTAAACGGGGTATAGTGCTGATGCGCTGTGTTTTAATGCAATACAAATATATTTTTCTTTAGAACTCTAATTTTCAGACCGTCTGCCAGTACAAGTATTTTGATGCCACGTAATGCATGTATTTACATAATATCTTGGACAAAAGTAAACAATACTAGTAAAATTTAGCAGAAACTCAGCACGCTGCAAAGAATAACTTCATTTCTTTAAAAAAAGTAATATCCGTAGGATTTCCTTCTGTATCGTGGAGGTGTTTATGGAGCTTCAGACGCTGATGAATTATTTGTAGGTCATAAAAACACTTGCTTCGTGCTGTGCTGGGTTTGAAGACGAGGTCCAAGACCGCTTCAACCATAGACTGGCGTATAGACTAACACAGTGTGCAAGGGAGAAGAAAATTCCTTATGGCAAAAATACAAGATAGAAAAGGATACCAAATCTCATGACTCTGTAACCAAGCACACAAGAAATAGCTCCCTAGATATTTTATAATTTTTTAGAGTGTAAAAGTGGTTATTATTAGTAAGTAACCTTTTTCCAAAATGGTTACTTGTTGCGCGAGTGACTGTGGTATTAATTATAGAAAAGGCTGGCAACGCATCTGCAATTTCCCTGCTTCCCCTGGTATTGCAGTTGTTCATGGGCGGTGGTAGTCACTTATGCTCGTCCCCCCATCAAATGAGCCGCATGCTCGTTTTCCCCCTCTCCTATAAAAAAAAGAAATAATCCTGATAATTACACATGTGACTTCCGATCGCTGTCGCTTTTTTGTGCCCGAGTCAAAGGACTTATCGAAGTTACACGAAGCGTCTCACTAGACATATATTAATTATTAAATATGTAGCTTTCTTCATAATTATTTAGCAATGGTTAACGCATTGACGTCATACTGTTCACACAATCAGGTACCTATAGCAGCTGCCTCTTGAACGTTATTCATATTAAGAGTGACTCAAGACTCAAGACAACTGAGCTCTTCGCGAAGTAGCACGAGTGTGAGTCACGTTCTTCGGACTGCGATCGACTTCGACGAGCACTTTGTCAAAGTTACTTCGCGAGTAGTGTAGAGGAGGCAAGAAAGTATTCGTGAATATTTTCAATGCAAGCTATTTAGTTTAACGGTTGTAATGTCTTAATTGTGTATATTTCTTATGTAAATATAACGCATTAAGAATCATTTTTCGATAGTCCTTGTAAGTAAAATGTACATCACTGGCTAACGCACACAATGACAAATCAAAATTAGCCACGCGTTTTCGGGCTATCCGGTCGTCTATACGCCAGTATTATTCTAAGTCTATGGCTTCAACTAAACGTTTAGGCAGCTTGCTACCGAGATATCTGTTTATTAGTAAATTAAAGCAGAAACTCGGTAAGCTACAAGCACTCAACTACAGAGCCTCTCACATAATCATAGAAATAGCTTTGATAATTTTTAAAACAAATACACAATTTCAAGCAGTAATGTCATATGTATAATAATCTATTACACATATGGTAATATTATACTCTTTCCGATGTCTCTTCTCAACACATTTGAATTTCGATCAAACAAAATATTTGACATTTTCCGTAACCATGGATATATGTAAACAAATTTATTGAAATTTTCAACTATATCAGCAGGTATTGAATTGGTATTGAATAAATATATTAGCTTATTTTTAGTCCAATATGGATGTATCTGAAGCTTCTGTAGAATGTTTAGAAAAGAAAAAAGCAGAACTACGAACATTTTTTAGTGATTCTAAGTTCCCTGAAGAAGTTATAGAAAAAATAATTGAAAATGAATTAAGACCTTTAGAAAACAGTTTCAATGAAAATCGACCTTATATTTCTGCTTCTGCTCCAGGAGAAGTTAAGTCTGAATATGAAGTTATGACTGGTCAACCGTTTACGAAGATTGTGGATAGTACCAAGCCTTATACATCGGAGGAGGTAAATAAAATGTTAGAAAATAACCCGATAATAATTGAAAAATCTCGGCAAATACAAATAGCGAGTGCATGTAGAGAGCGATCTGAATGGGTTTGTAAAGACATATGTGTACCATTGGATAGGATAAATTTGCCTTGTTACAGCGAAATGAAAGATGAATTGAAATCAGCAGGAAATGACCATAGTATAATTAATAATATACGCTATAAAAATATGCAAGCCTTAAAGAACTGCGCTTTAGAACATGAAGGTATTTCTGAATGTATGAAGGGAGAATCTATTAAAAGAGAAACTGATGATGTTGTATCAAACAGTGATGATAGTGAGTTCGAAGCAATAGATAAGGTCGTTGCTGAATATACTAATAAATCTTATGAAACAAGATTTCAAGAAACAAAAGATATGTTGCTTGGATTAGCTGAGAAATATGAAAATGCTATAACAAACGAGAAAATTGATAGTCCTAAAAAGGTGATAAAAGAAAGTTGTATTCTGGAAGACTCTTCATCAAATTTAATTGAAAATGAACACACGAGAAGAATTTTAGATGAGATTAAAGAAGAATATTCTATAAATGAGGCCATGAATATTCCTTTAGTATATACTCCAGTTAATTTTGATTCCTGTAGCAAAACCGAAAGAAAATTTTCAGATAACTTCAAAGGTACAGCAAAAGATGACAATGTTAGTTTTGAAGAAGTATTTCCTAAAGGTTTTGAATCAAAGCTTAAAGATACAACTAAAGTTTTAAATAACATTAATTCAATTTTAACATGTGGTGAAAATAATTTAAATAGTTCATACCAATCAACTTGCTTGGATTGTCAGGAAATAAAGAATTTTGAGCAAAATGATCAATCGAATCAAAAGCCACTTGAAGAAAACAATAAAGAAAATAATATAATTACTGGGAGTAGAAGTAACGACCTCGCTACTTCAATGGGTTCCCAATCGTTTGATGAAAGGATGGAACAAACTTTGCATAGCGCTTTAGAAACCATACTTGATATTGGAGAAAATGAAAACCGTGAAAACAACAATTTTGAATTTAATGAAATGAAAAACCTTGCGCGAAACATTGTGGAAGGAGCTGAAAACCTCAGTACACTTATTCGCTCTGATATAACCAATAAATTAAATAGCATGAACGAATTGTTAAATGATGTCAATGAAGCCTTAGAGAATTCAAGAAAGTCAAATATCCTTTATCAAAGTCTTATTAAGGACAACCAGAGCCAAAACAATGATGATAAAATACAAGAAAAGATAAAAGTGACAAATGAAAATGCTATTGATAATGATTACAATAATTTGCAGAGCGATTCTGTAACGTCTTCTCAAATTGATAAAATACATAATGCTATAGGTGCACTCAATAAAGAAATAAAGTGTCATGAGGATAGAATTCACAAAAGCGAAATAGATTACGAAGCAAGAAATAAAGAATGCAATGAATTCATCAAAGAGGTTGATAAAATATTGGATAAATCGAATAAAATTCTGCATCCAAAGCAATATTCGAATGCTATGACATTAAATGAACATGTTAAAGATATATGTAATGAAAATAGTATGGTTCAATCATACGTCAGTGCTGAGGAAAGTGAGGAGAAAAGATTATCGGAGTTTCAAAAACAAGAGATAGAAAGAAGTAAACGAATTGATGGCCTTCTACATGATATCAAAGACAAAATGAAAGATAATAAAGAAGTCAAGCGATTAGCAGACAACTTACTAAGAAGAAAGGAGCCAAAAACTAAGCTGACTGTAGAATACGCCTCGTCTATTAGTCCTGATGATACAATTGACTCTAAAGCTCAGGGTGACTTTTTAAATAAACATGACGTTGAAACAAATTTGAAAAATGATAATACTAATAAGGGATTTGTAGTAACGGAAATAGCCACGGATATGAAAACTAACGGTACCTTTTTGTTTTTGTCAATTTTTCATTTCCTGCATCCTGTTATTACAAGCATGAAAATACCTTTGGAGGCCGTTTCAGATTGCATTCATTCATTCATTCATTACAGTTTTTCACAAATCTACTGCTGAATATAGGCTCATCCCATAGATTGCCACAAAGCACGACACTGAGACACCTGCATTCATCGATTACTTGCATGTTTCTTCAGGTCTTCTTACCATCCAGTGGGGACTCTACCGCTCTACACTTCGCTTATCGGTACGGGGCTGCCACTTGAGAACCTTTTTCCCATCAATTGTCGGTTTTTGTAGCTATATGGCTGATCAATTCCTACTTTAGTTTACTTATCCAATGGGCTATATTAATAATATTTCATTTATTGTCAGTTACTTGTTGACAGACTTGTTCTCCTGCGAATATCCTTGTTACGGATTTTATCCCGTAGACAAATTTCGAGCTTTCACGTACGCAACGAGCTTCCCAATATAAACAGCAGTGAAGGAGCATACTGCTGTTCATACGAGAAGGCTGGAAGTTGTACATTTTCGTCTTAAGGCCCTGGTAAATATATTGGTGAAGAAAATATGTAAAAGGAAGGTCAATTTCAAATTTCGCAACTTTTGTTTCCAAATTCCAGCAACCTTCGTGGATGAATTTTTAGTATCTAATTTTCAAAAATATGTTCAAACATTCGAGTAGAGTCAAAGGTAAACCATTATGTCATAATGTTATAGAATATGAAGAGAAGAAGAAAAAAGAAGCCGAGGAAAAAAACCAAAAGCAAAAAGAGTTCCGAGCAAAGCTGGACAAGGAAACGGAGGAAGCTAACAGAGGGTTGCGTATGACTAAAGAATTTATAAGGAATCTTTGTAAACAACACAAATTGTATCGCACTCCACATCTCAATGATATCTTGTATTTGCATTTTAAGGTAAGAGTTGTAAATGTTTTCCAAGTTTTTACGTGGTAGAGCCATGCTGCAGCTATATATATGCGGTATAGTTATAACACGAATGGGGCGGCTCGACCGGGGTAGGGCCACACTCTCACAGAATACCAGCCTAAAATAGCAGCTTAACGCTACTGTGTTTCGTATCGTATTTCGTGTCGTATGGTGAGTAGAGAACCGGATGCCCTTTTTAGCGGAAAATCGTAATCGAGGATAGATGTGTATGTAGATGTCTATGGGCTAAGACCACCGTAAAAGGGGTGTCGTAAGAGGCGACTATAGAAAATACAAGATTTAAAAAAAACGTTACCCCCACACAATGACTTTCTCCTGTATCGTGGTGGCAGTTTAGTTACATACAAAACATTCACAGGGTGAAATATCCAGACCAGAAACAATTATTTTTAGGCTATACAAATACTTGTTCCGGACCCGCGGCACTCAACACCGTAACTCATTGCTATGGTACTGCGTCACAGAACCGTCAAAAATCTCATGGTTTCCAATAGATGGCGGTGTAAGCTTCTCCCTTACAAAAGAAAAAGAGAGCCTACCTTTCAGTGAGTGTTTTTTTTTATAGAAATAGGTTGACAAACGAGCATAAAGTCCACCTGATGATAAGTGGTTGGTGAAGCCCATATACATCTACATCAATCCTTGTTTGCGAATCAAAATGCAGATGCGTTGTCAGCCTTGAGGACTAAGATGGAATGCCTCTTTTCCAGTAAAAAGGATATCCGGTTCTCTACACTCACCATACAAAACACAGCAGTATTGAGCTGCTATTTTATGCTGGTATTCTGTGAGAGCGTGGTCCTTCCCCGGTCGAACCAACCCATTCGTGCTACAAATACACTATACATATAGCTGCAGCTTGGCTCTACCACGTTAATATTTGTACGTTGTGGAATTTTGCAAGCCCACCAAAATATGTAGAATTTCCTTTCTGCTAGAAGTTCGTTTGGGTACCACCACATATTTCTGTTGCCAAATAGCAGTGCCTGTACTGCTGTGTTCTTGTCTGATGGATAAAGAGAGCCAGTGTAATTACAGGCTGTGACATTCCATTTCAGTCCTCAGAGGTGATAACGCATCTGGAACATTCTTTCTTTGAAGTCGGCTGCAGGTGTCCATGGAGGACTTGCTGTAGCTTCTTACCATCAGGTAGACTGTAAATTCGTTTGCCACTTCAGTTTTATAAAAAAAAATATATAAACTTTTTCCAGGGTTTTTCCAAAATTGAAAATTTGGAAGAATATACTGGCCTGAAATGCATATTCCTAGAGAATAACGGAATTGAAAGAATCGAAGGTCTGGACAACCAGTCTGAGTTGAAGTGTCTCTACCTCCATTATAATGTCATTAGAAAAATTGAAAATCTACAGGGGTGTCCAAAATTGGACACCTTGAATTTGGACCACAATTTCGTTGCAAAGATTGAAAACTTGCATGTAGTACCCGATTTGCACACGCTGAGTATTGCACACAACATGCTCTCAACCGTAGGCAAGTATATGCTTTTTCTTTCATCTTAAAATATACATTACCTCCACACAGGAAATTTACTCTGTATATATTGGATACTAATTATATCCGCAACCATGTTTTTATTTACGCATTCTACTAATATATTAGATCTATACCTATAAAATTATCGTTTTAAAAATCACTTTGAACTCATTTTGAATTCATAATTATTTATTTGCATAGAATGTAGGTGTTACAAAATTATCTTTATGTATAGATTAGACTTAATATTATTATTACATAATACTTTCTGAAAGTATTTTTTTTTATTTACCACTATATATAATTCTTTTGTCCGTGTGTATGTGACTGAACTTTTCCTAAATGGCAAGACCGATTTCAATGAAATTTTGTGTGTGTCTGTGATTAAGTTGATCCGAGAACGGTTTATGTTCACAATTGGACCCGGTAGGTGGCGCTGTTGTCGAGATTCAGAAATCACCCGAGCGAAGCCGGGGCGGATCGCTAGTTATTATATAAAATTATTAGTTCCGTTACATTTTGCTTAATTTTAAATAAATATTTATTGTTACATTTCAAAGAAATGAGAAGTTTGCCATCACGACGCACGGGGGAGCGCGGCGGATTAACCGCTCCAAAACTATCTCACAAATGACAGGAGGCCTAGTTACAGCCTATTACGACCCCATAGCTGGACACAAGCTATGGGGGCGTAATAGGCTGTAACTGTATTTTTTAATAGAATAAGGGTGACAAGCGAGCACACAGTCCACCTTATGGTAAGTGGTTGCTGTGGTAAATAGACATCTACATCTATCCTCGTTTGCGAATCAAAATGCAGATGCGTTGTGAGCCGTGAGGGCTAAGATGGAATGTCTCTTTTCCAGTAAAAACGGTCTCTGGTTGTCTACACTCACCATACGAAACACAGCACCGTTAAGCTGCTATTTTACGCTGGTATTCTGTGAGAGCGTGGTCCTTCCCCGGCCGAGCCGACCCATTCGCGCTACAACTATACTATTAAAACAGCCTTAATGACTCTACCACGTATACTTTCTCTACTTCTATTTTTATATCATTCTCCAAATAGGACTTTCAATAAAAGAGCCTACTCTTTTTTAAAAGGCCGGCAACGCATCTGCAATTCCCCTGGTATTGCGGTTGTTCATGAGCGGCGGTAGTCACTTACCATCGAGCATGCGGCTCACGCATGCTCGTTTGCCCCCTCTTCTATAAAAAAAAAGAATTAAACCAAAAATTACACCAAAAATTTAATTTTCACAGCTGATCTGGAGCATTTAGTATCTTGCAAGAACCTTTCGGTCTTGGATTTGTCTTATAACCGCTTGGAGGATCCTATCATCGTGGATATTTTGGCCGATATGGCGATTTTAAAAGGTAATAATTTTTTTTTCAATGTGGGTTCGGATTTTATGGGTAGTTAGGTGTTACTGTGAAGTGACGGCGTAAGAGAATCTACTACGTCGTATTATCCAGTAGGTGTTGTAAGAAAAGGTAGAAAGAAATTGAGTTAGGCGATAGGTAACAGCAACTGCGTGAGAAAACAATTAATTTTAATTTATTTTTATTTTTATTACTTGCTGTTATAGCAGCAACAGAAATATAATAGATCATGTCATGTCTATCAAGGCAATCAAGATAGTCTTTGCCTTCAATAATTTAATAATGCGCCGGTAGAACATTGTAAGGAAAGCGTTTAGCGCCGAATTTAGCAAAACGAAACGGTAATGATCTTGATCTCTTGTCCTTGGTTATGATCTTAGACCTGGATCTCTGATTGTTTGCCTGCCACCCGACACAATTTTATTTATGTGATAAGAATGACATACAAGCACACAGTCCACCTGATGGTGTTAGCTGTGGCCCATAGAGATCTATATCTGTCCTCGATTACGAATCAAAATGCAGATGCGTTGTTACCCGTGAGGAATAAGATAGAACGCTTCGTGTCCAGCCAGAGTTTCCGGTCGTCTACACTTACCATACGAAACACAGCAGCGTTAAGCTACTATTTTACGCTGGTATTCAATTTTTTTTATAAGATAGGGTTTCAAACGAGCACACAGTCCACCTTATGGTAAGTGGTTGCTGTGACCCATAGACATCTACATCTATCCTCAATAAAAACTCAGATGCAGATGCGTTGTCACCCGTGAGGACTAAGATGGAAAGCCTCTTTGCCAGTAAAAGGGTCTCCGGTTCTCAACACTCACCATACGAAACACAGCAGCGTTAAGCTGCTATTTTACGCTGGTATTCAATTTTTTTTATAGGATAGGGTGACAAACGAGCACACAGTCCACCTTATGGTAAGTGGTTGCTGTGACCCATAGATATCTACATTTATCCTCAATAAAAACTCAAGATGCAGATGCGTTGTCACCCGTGAGGACTAAGATGGAAAGCCTCTTTGCCAGTAAAATGGTCTCCGGTTCTCAACACTCACCATACGAAACACAGCAGCGTGAAGCTGCTATTTTACGCTGGTTTTCTATGAGAGCGTGGTCCTTTCCCGGTCCAGCTGACCCATTCGTGATAGTCGTGCTCTACCACGTATATCATAAATCACGGTCCTGAGCCATGGATGCATACATGGCATAGACTTCCTGAATGTCTTACTAGGTAGTCACTTCATCTTGTGGAGGGGGACCTTTATTCCTCATCGGTTTACAGTTCGTCGTGCTATATAGTCAGCCCTTCGCCACTTCACCTACTGATCCTTTGGACTATGTTAATTACTCTGGTTTCACTACGGATATTCTAATTATGAAGTTTATCGCGCAGAGAGACTTTCAGGATATAGCTCACTGAGTGGCCAGCAGTGAAAGGACCACATCCATATGTTGTCATCACTGACTACAAGCACTCGTTATACACTCTGGTTTTCAAGTTATATTTGACGGGATGATGAGCCGTAATCCCCGAATGTATGGTGAGTGTAGAAAACTGGAGACCCTTTTTACTGGAAGCAAGGCGTTCCATCTTAGTCCCCACTTGTGTCAACGTATCTGCATTTTGACTCGTAATCGAGGATAGATGTATGTAAATGTCTATGGGCTAAGGCCACCGTAAGAGGGGTGTCGTAAGAGGCGACTATGGAAAATGCCACATTTAAAAGAAACGTTACCCCCACACAATGATTTTCTCGTGTATCGTGGGGGCAGTTTACTTACATACAAAACATTCACAGGGCAAAATATCCAAACCTGGAACAATTATTTTTAGGCCATACAAATACTTGCTCCTTGCGGGGTTCAGACCCGCGGCCCTCAACAACGTGAAGATGAGCCGTAATCCCCCGAACGTATGGTGAGCACGAATGATGCGGCTCGACCGGGGAAGGACCACGCTCTCACAGAATACCAGCGTAAAATAGCAGCTTAACGCTGCTGTGTTTCGTATGGTGAGTGTAGAGAACCGGAGACCCTATTTACTGGAAGCAAGGCGTTCCATCTTAGTCCCCACTGGTGACAACGTATCTGCATTTTGATTCGTAATCGAGGAGAGATGTAGATGTCTATGGGCCACAGCAATAACTTACCATCAGGTGGACTATGTGCTCGTTTGTTACACTTATCCTATACAAATATCGAGCGTAGTGCTTCCAACAACTATCAGCATAATGTGAAATGGACGCCCTTTGTCTTGTCCATGTTCATCTCTTTGGGAGAATATTGAGGTCATTAAGTATAGGGCTAAGGTCTTCTTTTGTATCAATTAAAAGATGTTTTGTACCAATTGAAAGATAATTCATGTTTGTATTATTTTTTTAAATTAATGCTTCATATTGCTGTAACCAACATAAGTATCGCTAGAAAAATATGAAAAAAGTGACGACAAATAATATAGAATATATATATATATATATAAATATATATATATATATATATATATATATATATATATATATATATATAAATGACGTGTCACGTTGTTTGTCCGCGATGAACTCCTAAACTATTGAATTGATTTCAATGAAATTTTGCACACTGTGTGCAGTTTGGTCCAACTTGAGAGATAGTATACTTTTTATCCCGATATGTGACCATTAATATTTTTTATTGTGGATTTAAGGATTTTCTTACAGGAAGGAGCGTCGGAAAGGGCAGAACAACGTCTGCCTGGCCGTAACGTATAGTATATAGGGCCGGTCATATAGCTCGAAGAACCGACAACCCATGGGGAAAAAAGCTTCTCGAGTGGCAGCCTCGTACCGGTGGGCGAAGTGTTGGGTGTCCCCTCACTATACTAGAATTATTTTGTCCGTGCAGTTTGGGTCATAAATCTTGTACTTAGTTTTGTCATTATGTGGGTTAGTGATAAAAATGAAAAAAAAAAAATACATAGATAAAACAACGTATTTATTAAAATAAGAATAATAATGAATTAAAATTAAAAGTACAGAAGTTTGGAATGTAACAAGTTATATTGAAAATAAATATAAATATAAAGATAATAACTTATATCTAAAATTAAATCTAAAATTATTTACATTAAAATTCTACATCAGATATCTTCTGCCAGATGAGATTTCTTCAAGTGTTCCTCTTGGAGTTTTTCTGCATGCTTCACACAATTTTCCCAGTTCTTTTGCGAAACGTTTGAAATTGCTTCATGCAGTAACACTGCGACGTCTGGAATTTTAAAAGTGCTGTTTTTGTGGCAACTTCATTTTTTGCTTGAGCCCATACCAATTCAATTGGGTTATATTGGCAATAGTAAGGTGTAAGCGAATCACTTCGTGTTCTGACTCCAAAGCTAACTGATCCAATTTGTATATTTTTTCTGTTCGGTTCCGTCGCATCTGTAAATATAATGTTGTTTGTATATTTAACTAAATACTTACGTAAAAGATGAAAGAATATTTACCAATTAGTCTGCCCCCCTTTTCCGTTTTTGTGTATAAGCCGCCTTGTCCATCGTTGTCTAGCCAAACTTTTTTGCGGCTGTGATTTTGGATCACCCAAGTCTCATCTAAATAAATTCTTGGTCTTCACTATCTCTCGGGGTTTTGAGTTTTCTCAGGAATTGTAGCCGCGATTAACGATGTCAGTCTTTTCCATCAATTGTTTACGACCATCTGGAGCTTGTGTGTACTTGTACCCAAGTTCTATGAGTATTTTATGCACAGAAGAAATAGAACACTGGAATCCGTTAATTCCTTCTTTTGCTGTACACAAAATTTTAGCCGTGGAAGGATATTCACCGTCGCGATAAAACGATGACACTATTTGTTTAATTACGCTTTTGTCAAAGTCGTCTAACGCAGTTACTGTACAAGGCTGATAGACGCTTTCTCGCGGAGAGCTAACTTCTCACTTTATACACTCTTTTAATTTTGTGGACCGTTCTAACACTCACACCACATATCGCCGCAGCAAGTTCACGAGAACGGCAGAAATTAACACTAACACACAATAATTTTCATTTCAGTGAAAAATGTTAAAACATTGTTGATAACAACACGTGATTGTGCTGGTATATTTGTGCCAACAGGCAAAATATTATTTTGAATAAATTCTGCCGTTTTGGTACAAAACAAAGGAGTAGCCATTGTGTCACTAAAGAAATTCATAGAGCGAATGCGCAAAAACATATTTCTCTTCGATATATGTACTAAATTATCATTGCACTAATTTGCAGGTATTAGGCGGGGGTAATAAAGGAAAATAAATGACTCAAACATAACAATGTCGCACCATCCTTTTTATACCGCACAGCCGCCGTGTACCTCCCTTCGGTGATTCATTTGTTGTTATCGATAATGGCGTTGCGCCTGCACAACATGCTCGCGCTCTAGCCGGGCTGAGGCCGAGCTATGATTTATGACCCCAACTGCACGGACAAAATAATTTTACTATAGATGGAGTGACGACCTGGTAAGACATGCAGGAAGTCGATGGATGCAGGTGGCTCGGGACCGTGCTTTTTGGCATTCCTTGTGGGAGGCCTATGTTCAGCAGTGGACTTGTGAAGGGCTGTAATTATGATGATGGTGATGATACAAATAGAATACAGATAGTATAGAATGAAGGACAATTATTATTAAAATGAAGAGATATAATTTATTACAATTGTCCTGATTACTATCTGGATGTAAGTGATATGAGGTCTGGATGTATACAATCTGGCAACAGTGAATAGGCTTTTGTTACGCTAAGACAGTGCGATTTACCATCTAGGGTTTTAACACTACTTAACATACGGTGCTATTGTTGTCAAGCACGGGCTTATAATAAGTAAAAATAATATACTTGTATTTTTAACTTCTAGCTTTAAAAATTAATAATTTTCAAAATTAGGAAGTAATAGGTTTCTCGAGTTTTCATCGTGTGTGTATGTGTGTGTATTTAGTCGTATGTGTGTATGTATGTATGTATGTAAATAAAATTTTGTTGTATGATATCTTTAGAACGAATCAACCGATCAAGATGTGCGACACAGCGTTCGAAAGTGATCGTAGAGACTTCGAGCTGATTAGATTTTCAAAGATTTTCAAAAATTAAAAACCAAAGAAACAAAAATTAAATAGATTTTCAAGGACTGCGCTCGAAAATAAGCTGGAAGTTCCTGGTATAGCCTGCAGGGTCAACCGTTTTTCAGATATTTTTTCAAGCATTTTTCCGGGTATAATGCAAAGAAACGCTGAATTTGCATGCTACACCTTACACATGATTTAGGTGGGGAGGTAATGGTAGTCTCATCCCACTGAAACCTAATTGTGCATGTGCATTTGCATGATTTAATTAAAATTTCGTTTACAGTACTGGTCCTAACCGGCAACCCCGTGGTACGCAATATCCCTGCGTACAGAAAAACCCTAACATTGCGCTTGAAAGAGCTGCTGAATCTGGACAACAGGCCCGTGTTCCCTCGAGACCGTGCCTGTGCTGAAGCTTGGCAGAGGGGCGGAGTGCAGGAGGAGGTTGCAGAAAGGAAACGGTAAGTGCTAGTTGCAGAGCTACCACTTCTAAAGACAACGAACGAAGATTTCTTAATTTTTTTTTATAGGATAGGGTGACAAACGAGCACACTGTCCACCTGATGGTAAGTGGTTGCTGCGGCCCATAGACATCTACATATATCCTCTATTAAAAATCAAAATGTAGATGTGTTGTCCGTGAGAACCAAGATGGAATGCCTCATTTCCAGTTAAAAAGGGTCTCCGGTTCTCTACACTCACCATACGAAACACAACAGCGTTAAGCTACAATTTTACGCTGGTATTCTGTGAGAGCGTGGTCCTTTCCCGGTCGAGCCGACCCATTCGTGCTACAACTATACTATTAATATATCTGCAGCATGGCTCTACCACGTATAAAGCCTTCTGTATAACTGTAAAATAACTGACTTGATCCTGGTGATGTAGCTGGATAGCAGCTGACCATGAGAAGACAATGAAGAGTGTCCGCTATCTCATTAAGATGCGCGAAGAGAAGAAGGCTGAGAGGGAAGCCAAGGAGAAGGAGGAGAGGGAAAAACTTGGTCTCCCGCCAAAGGTAAACATTTATTATATACTCGTATAGAGCTTTGCCTGGTTAGGTAAAGGTAGCCTTACCTGAGGTGTGCGACGTTCCGATGTCATGGTTAACTAGGGCTACCTTCAGTTTAATTTTATTCATTACTTTAATTTTTATTATATCTCTCTTTGGGAGAATATTGAGGTCATTAAGTATAGTGTAGACGACCTTAGTCTTTTGTATCAATTCAAAGAAGTTTTGTACCAATGGAAAGATAATTCATGTTTGTATTATTTTTTTTAACTTTTTTTTTAAATTAATGCTTCATATTGCTGTGACCAACATAAGTATCGCTAGAAAAATATGAATAAAAAAGTGACTACAAATAATATAGAACACACAGCTATATAGTATATAGGGCCGGTCATATAACTTGAAGAACCGACAACCCATGGGGAAAATAGCTTCTCGAGTGGCAGCCTCGTACCGGTGGGCGAAGTGTTGGGTGTCCCCCCACTATACTAGAATTAGATAGATAGATAGATAACTCTTTATTGCATTTATACAAAGTGTTACAATTACGGAATAACTTAAGAACTACAAACGGTGGTCATATCGCTTTAAGCGATTTCTACCTGACAAACCGAACGTAATAGGGAACAATGTAATATATTTTGACGGATAGGTGCAACGTGCAATATAAAATGAAACTGAGGACAAAAACTTATAGTTAAACACGATTTATATAAATATATGAATTATATAATATATAATATTATAAAATTAATAAACATAAATAAATAAATATATACATATATACATACATATAGATAAATATATACATATATATATACACACATACATACATACATATATATATATATATATATATGCAGAGAAAATTAAGCAAAAAGAAAAAAAACAAGTATTTATAAAAAGAGGAAATGCATATAATTTATAATTATGACGGGAAATTCAAATAATACTCCTTCAGTTGTTTTTTAAAAATCTGTAAAGATTGCGCTTGCTGGATGTTAAGTGGTAATGAATTCCAGAGTCTGGTTGCTTGTGAAGTAAATGACTTATTATAAAAAGAAGTTACGCTGTAAGGAGTGTTCAAAGCCAAGCCATACACTGAACGCAAACTACGATCATGAAATTCATATCGATAGTGAAATTGTTCCTTAAGGTACCTTGGAGATTTCGGATCAAACAGAACACAAAAAAGTAAAGAAAGTAAATGAACATTCCGGCGAAGGTGAATTGGGAGCCACTTGAGTTGATTTCGAAATTGGGATACATGGTCATATTTGCGTAAGCCAAATATGAACCGAATGGAAAGATTTTGAAGACGCTCAAGCTTGTTTAATTGCTCCATGGTAATATCAGTGTAGCATATATCAGCATAGTCTAAAATAGGGAACAAAATGGAATGTGCTAACGCAATTTTGGTAGAAATGGGTAAGAAATTTCGAAGTCTTTTGAGACTTCCACAAGCTGCAAACATTTTCTTACTTATTTGTTCAATTTGTGGTGCCCAAGACATTGTACTGTCAATTAGAACCCCTAGATTTTTTACAACCTTACTGTAAGGAATAGCAGAATTTTCAAAACAAACGAAAGGCAGCGTATGCCAAGTAATTTTTTGTAGTAGTTTGTTGCTACCTATCACTATTACCTGCGTTTTACTAGGGTTAACCTTAATTCCATAAGATGTGCAAAATTCTGAAATAATAGCGAGATCACGATTTGTGGATAGCACGGCAGATGGAAGATTATTGATACTTGTTTGAGAATATATTTGGAGATCGTCTGCATAAAGATGGTAGAGAGAAGTTATTCCTGAAGTGATAGAGCGTATGAAAATTGAAAAGAGGAGAGGAGACAACACGCCACCTTGTGGTACGCCTGCATCCAGAGAACACCACGAGGAATAAGTGTCTTCAATACGGATGCATTGACGGCGTCCAAACAAGTAACTACGAAACCAGTCAGTTGCCGCTGGAGATACGTTAATAGAACGGAGCACAGCTAGAAGTATATCAAAATCGACTGTGTTGAAGGCGTTACTGAAATCAAGAAGAGTAAGAATAGTAACTTGCCGATTCTCCATTCCTGCCCGAATGTCGTCTGTGATTTTAACCAAAGCAGTGACCGTGCTATGGCCAGGACGAAAGCCTGATTGGAATGTATTTAAGAGGCTATTTTCATTAAGAAATAGATTAAGTTGCTGTTGGACAAGACGCTCAAGAATTTTAGAAAGAAAAGGTAATATCACAGAAGGACTTGGGATTTGATTTCTTGGGTAGTGGAATAATTTGAGCATCTTTCCATAGAGTAGGAAAAGTTCCTGTATTTATAGAATTGTTGAAAATTTTAGAATTATTTTGTCCGTGCAGTTTGGGTCATAAATCTTGTATTTAGTTTTGTCATTATGTGGGTTAGTGATAAAAATGAAAAAAAAAACAATTCATAGATAAAACAACGTATTTATTAAAATAAGAATAATAATAAATTAAAATAAATTATTAATTAGGTATTTATGTATTAAAAAATCAATCGACGGATTCAACTCGGCTGGGCAGCGTTCGGGAAGCTACGACACATCTTCTCGTCAGACATACCTCAAAACCTTAAAACGAAATTGTACAACCAGTGCGTGTTGCCAGTGATGACTTACGGAACTGAGACGTGGTCCTTCACTGCTGGCCGTATGAGGAAGCTCAAGGTCGCTCAGCGAGCTATGGAGAGGGCTATGCTCGGAGTTTCTCTGCGTGATAAACTTAGGAATGAGGATATCCGCAGTAGAACCAGAGTGACCGACATAGCCCAACGGATTAGTAAGCTGAAGTGGCAGTGGGCCGGCCATATAGCTCGAAGAACCGACAACCGATGGGGAAGATAGGTTCTCGAGTGGCAGCCTCGTACCGGTAGGCGAAGTGTAGGGCGTCCCCCTACGAGATGGAGTGACGACCTGGTAAGACATGCAGGAAGTCGATGGATGCAGGTGGCTCAGGACCGTGTTTTGTGGCATTCTTTGGGGGAGGCCTATGTTCAGCAGTGGACTTGTGAAGGGCTGTAATGATGATGAATGATGATGTATTAAAAAAAAAGTATAAGTACAAATGTTTGGAATGTAACAAGTTATATTAAAAATAAATATAAATATAAAGATAATAACTTATATCTAAAATTAAATCTAAAATTATTTACATTAAATTTCTAATGTATACATTATAATGATAAACACGTTAACTGTCCAATCAATGGTAATTGACCATTACAAAATTATGACGCATCTGGCAGCTATCGCCCCGCCCTCCTCGACTATTAAGGTGACTACAGTAGCTAAATGCAAGTTTTATAATGCCTTAAAGTATATGATCCGTTGCAGTAAACAAAATCAGAAAAATATATGAAAATTTTTAGGATATATGCTAGTTAGATAGCGTATTGAAAACAGATCAAGCAAAATACAGCTGTGCTTATTATGTTGAGTGACGTAAACCGGAGACCCTTTTTACTGGTTGTTCATCCTTAGTCCTCAAGGGTGACAACGCATCTAAATTATGATTAATTATTAAGTAGTATTATATAAGTAGTATTAATAATAATATATAATATATATATATTGTCTTATCATTAGGTGGGCTGTGTGCTTTTTTAGTGTTCTTAGTTATATAAAAACTAGCTGTCCCTCGCGACTTCGCCTGCATGGAATTTACTACGATTTCATGGGTTTTAATTTTTTGCGCGGATCTCTAATTCTTTTTCTTAAGTAAAAGTATCCTAAGTTACTCCCTATAATATCAGCATCTGCCAGTGAAAGTACCGTCAAAATCGGTCTACCCATTTCGGAGATTAGCTGGAACAAACAGACAGACAGAGAGATAAAAATTTTAAAAATGTTTTTTTGTTATTAGTACCGTATATATACTATATACTTTCATATACATCTAGTAAAAAGCTGTTATTTTAATATTGCAAACAGATACTTCAATTTTATTTATTTGTATAGATAAAGAACACTAAATTATTTTATTGATTCAAACTCCCGTTCCGGCTTCGCACAGTTGATATCTGGATCTCGATGACAACGCCAACTACCGGGTCCAATTGTGAATCTAAACCATTCTCTAACCAACTTAATCAATCACACACACAAACTTTCATTAAAATCGGTACTGCCGTTTAAGATAAGTTCAGTCACATACACACGGATAGAAGAATTATATAATATATAATATGCATCAATTATACATATAAACCTTCCTCTTGAATCGAATCAAAACCACATCAAAATCCATTGCGTAGTTTAAAAGATCTAAGCGTACACACGGCGGGATTCGACTTTGTTTTATACCCACTGTGTAGAGAAGTAGATATCAGAATGAAATTTATCTTTGCGGTATTAATTTATTGAAACAATCTAAATTATTGCTTTATTAGGAAGAAGATTCACAAAATGAAAATGATCTAGGTAAAGTGAGTGTACTTGATGGTCCACCAACACTAGAAGAGCCGTTTGGATCATCAGCAGTAGAAACTAAGGGAGGCGTTGCGATTGACATGCTGTCGGGATCGGAGGAAGAAGATTCTACGAGCGATGAAAGTGACAGCGATAGCAATCGTAATAATGTAAAGAAGGAAGAAGGTGCGATCTTTATTGTTATAAAATAAAGATTTAAGAAGTAAGAGATGTAGGAAGTTTATGAATGGAGTTGGTTTAGGACCGTGCTTTGTGGCATTTCTTGGAGGAGGTTTATGTTCAACAGCGGACTTGTTGAAGTACTGTAATGATGATGTTGTAGATGATGATGAAAACAAAGATTTACTTTTATTTGTTTTACTACCAGGAAATGTACGCTGCACTGCCCCAAAAATGGCGGACTTACCATCATTTGTCCGACATGCAGTTTTTGTTACTGTGTGTTTTCATTCACATTACCACACAAATTGTTTCATAATCATCTCAGAAATAAGAGGAGATTTGTATCCAGCAGCAGAGACTCTACAAATGAGTAAAATTATAGCACTGGTTGTTGTACTACGAGCTAATTTTAAATTTTAAAATAATTTATAAAGAACTCAGATGTCAACGGCGTAAAATTGCTAATTGATTTTTTATTGTTGATTTGTACTTTGTTCTGTGGTTAAGTTAAATGTCAGGGGAAAACTTGTCCATTAAAAAATAAGTTTAGATACTGTTAAGTACTAGTATATTAGTACATTATAGGTTGCTGGTTTAGATCTGACCTAACAAATGGTTGTTAGGTACCTTGAGATATCAAAGGTTTAGTTTAACATAGACTCTCGATTTTTCAACAAAATTGCCTAAAGCCTGTAATGGAATAGAACTAATACAAGGGTACTTAGGCGTTGCTAGACTGACTTGAAGTGCTGTTTTAGCAGTTAGATGGTCTCGCAGTGCAGTGTGTATTACCTCCTTCTACGCGTCTCACAGTCCCTTCGTTGATAACCTGCCAGCGCGTCTAAATCCGAAAAGTGAGCATGTAATGCCCCCATTAAAGGAGGGGTGATTTTATTACCCTTTCTAATCTGAAACTCATGTACACTTACGTAATCCAGTAATAAAAATAGGTTGTTTTTTAATCAGGTCATGTCTGCAATCATGAACAATATTCTATTGACATATTATATTTTTAGATACTTGTACGTCAACTTCTGAAATTGTGTGGTCACAAGGCACTACAAAGCTGGTTCAGGAAATCAAAGAGGAACCGTCTACACCTCCGCCAGAGGACTATTGGTGTGGATATAGAGGTGATTTGAAATCTACTGATGGTTTTAAAAAGTGAGTCTATATTGGTTTATTATTTAAACATATATTACATTATTTAGAAGCAATCTTTGCTAGTTGTAGTGTTCTTTAAATTGGTATTAGGGACTTTTTTAAAAAAAAGTTCCTCTAGCTTGGTAACCCTTTCTTTGCTTTTGCGTAAATCCACTGTTGTTCCAACTTTTAAGCTATAAAATCCAGCATAAAAATCAGCTACGTGGCATTTCATATAAAACCTCAGAGTTTAAAGCAGAAAGGAAGGAGGAAGCATGTTGAAAAATGTATGAATGGCTTGGAATTAAATTGATAATTACTAAAATACTACGAAGTAAATAGAAATTGATAGCTACAAATGTCAAATATCTAAATACTAATGTAATTGTAATGTTAATGTAAATGTAACGTACACAAAAATAAAAGTAGTTTTACGAAAATAAGTAATATCCATTCAGTAAATACTAGGAACAGAAACAAGTTAGCAATACCAGTTACTCGACTCCAAAGATTAGTAATTCATTCTTGAAGCCATGTATATGCTTTTACAACAAAATCCCAGAAAACATACAAAATTTCACCTGCTCAAAGTTCAAAAACTTTATTAAATAACGATTGTATAAAAAAGGGTTATAATAATATTTAGGAATTTATAGATAATAATAACCCCTGGGAATGAGGTGATCGCGACCAAGCTATTTATAATTTTTGTGTTGTTAATTGTGTAACATACATATAAGATTGTAAGCTGTTATTTTTTTTTTCTGGATCTCTTGCTGGTTCTTCCCAGGGCAGAGGTTTTTTTCAGAACCAGTGGTAAATTAAACAAAAGGCTGACTTTCAATAAGTCAAAAAAGTATAATTTATAATCTATATTCAATAAAAAGCTTGTTTCTATTTTTTTTATAGGATAAGGGTGACAAATAAGCACACAGTCCACCTGATGGTAAGTGGTTGCTGTGGCCAACAGACATCTACATCTATCCTCGATTACGAATCAAAATGCAGATGCGTTGTCACCCGTGAGTACTAAGATGGAATGCCTCGTTTCCAGTAAAAGGGGTCTCCGGTTCTCTACACTCACCATACGAAATACAGCAGCGTTAAGCTGCTATTTTACGCTGGTATTCTGTGAGAGCGTGGTCCTTCCCAGGTCGAGCCGACCCATTCGTGCTACAATTATACCAGTAATATATTAAAAAGGACATTTGTGTGTGTGATTAAGTATATTCGAAAATAGTTTAGATTCGTTTGGAGCCGGTAGGTGGCGCTGTTGCCGAGATCCAGAAATTACCCGTGCGAAGCCGGGGCGGATCGCTAGTAACAACTAAAAATAAAACTGCGGTTGTCAACTTGCATACCAAGCGTGGTAACTATGGCAAATATCCCCCTTATAAGGCAATCTATGGGTGGATCCAAGTTCATCGTTGGACTTTGAAGGGCTGTAATGGAAATGGGTTGCAGTGATTACTTATCGACTTTTCTCACGTTACTTTTGCATGCCGTAAGCGCCTAATCACGTCGGTATGTTCTACTAGGGCCTAAAAATTTAGTTTTACTTTTAAAATTATGTTTCAGCAAAACTACAACAGAATTTGAAGCAATCAATAATTTGCTATTCAATCAGACGCCGCACACTGACAACAAACCGACAGCTACCATTACTAAAGGTAACCAAGAATCATTTTCTATGTATTATGATATATGTTTAAATATTGTACACGCCTTTGTTGTTGATAAACAAATCTTTAGAACTAAACTGTTTACATTATCGTACAAAAAGCGTATAGAATAATTATAACTTTTAACAAAAAGTAAAATCCGACTTCAAACTGCTCAAAAAGGACTTATTTATTTGCTACCCTTAGGGGTAAATTTTTGTTTTCCAAATTTATATAGAACCACCCTTAAAGTACAACCGATTTAATAAAAAAAGTATAATTAAAATCGTTACTCAATCTGCGAAAATATCATATGAAGGTCCTTAAACAATAGTCCAATATGAAACTTCATCCCTATTTTCCACTCTTGGGGCCGGAAATTTTTCTTCAAAATTTAATGAAAACATATTTAATAAAAAAATAATCATTAAATTCGGTTCACAATCTGCGAAGATACAGCGTAACATACATACCAAAGAAACACACACACTCGAGTTGAGAACCCTCTCCTTTTTGAAGTCTGTTAAAAAGAGTGAAAGTTTTAGGCAACTATCATACTTATTTACTTTCTTCTTTTTTAACATTTATTATTTATATATTGCAGGGGTAAGTGAAAGAAACTATGAGATTAATATAACCGAAGAATTACAATCGAATGTCGAAAACTCCTACGAAGGTACAACACGAAAACCACTAATTGAAATTATAGATAATTTGGATGATACGAAAATTACAGAAGACTTTAACATAGATGTTAGCAAAAATAGAATATCAGTTAGTGAAGTACCTGAAAACGAAGATGCTCAAAATGATACTGATGACAAAATAATATTACAAACAAACAAAACTATCGCAATTTCAAATGAGCAAAATAAAAGCATATGTAGCGAAGAAAGTAAAAATAGTCAAGAAAATAAAGGCTTAAAACGTATAGAAATTAAAGAAATAAAACGTGAAGAAATTCATTTACCTAAGCCAGTTGATAATAATGGAGATACGGATACTACAAATCCGGAAAATGATTCGACAGATAGAGATTGTGAAAATAAATCGGAGGAAAAAACAGAACCTAGTGCTCCTAGCTATGATGAACCTGCTAGTGGAAAGAGCAGTAAGTAAACGTAATGTGCATATATAAATATTCCGCCACCATTACCTTCTCATTCGCTTGGCGTACTTGAACTATTTGATATCTTTCGTTTAAATATTTTTCGGACAATATTTATCACTTCATATTACAATTGCGTATCTGATATTCGATATTAAACATATTTTAAGATCTGTTAAAACAAACATTACAGTAGAAATTGCATGGAAATAAAGTGTAAAGACGTCATATAGTTTTTATAGTGATCACCATATTTATATATTTTTTATTACTTACAATCTAATCTAATTTAAAATAAAAATCGACCAAATTTGAACATTGCTAAAAGAAGCAAATTTAAATTTTATAATGAGGTAACTTATTAATGATGATATCAACTACTCAATTAACATCAGGTGGAAAGTTTAGCAAAGTGTTTTATAAAATAATCAAAACAACTCCCTACTCCTGATTCCTGAGCCAGGTCTAGCAGCATTAACGTTACAATTTCCGTTGATGGGATACTTTATAAAATTTCTGATTTATTTTTGGATGTATATTATAAGCGTTTTTAGTTTAGTTTAGTTTAGTTAGTTTAGTTTACGACGGGCTGTTTTCCGCAACTCCACGTCTATGCGCGTATTTTGCGTGTGGGCAGGAATAATGTGATTATTCGAGCCATGAGATCTCTCCGAAGAAGCTCAACAGGCCCTTGATGTTGCATGCAACTTCGGAGAGTGATCCCGGCGTGCCGAGATGTTTAGCCCTGTATGTAGCGACCTCCGGACATTTCAGTAGCACGTGGGCCGCCGTTTCTTCCTCCCCCATACATGCCCTGCACAGGGGACTATCTGTAACACCTATAGTAAATAAATGTTTGTTAAAGGTGCCGTGTCCTGTGATAGCACTTGTTACTATCCTAATCTGCGGCTTGTTCAGTCTCATTAAAACTTTTGTTAAGCGACTGTTAATTTCAGGCAGGGCATCCCTAGCTTGTCTACAGTCTACTAGATTTTTCCAAAGCTGAGCGTGTTGATTAGTGAAGTGTCTACGTACCAGTGAACAAACGTTACCAAAGGGGATTGGTATGATTGGTTCCGGCCCTATAGTGGCCAAAGCCGATCCTCTTCTGGCCAGTTCGTCTACTGCATCGTTGCCTCTGGATCCACTGTGTCCCTTTATCCATTGCAGGGTCACATTGTTGTTTTTACATACCTCATTTAATCGTTGATGGCATTCATATATTAGTCCCGAGTTCACCACATTGCATCTCAGGGCTTGGAGTACCGCCCTACTGTCGGTCAGTATTCTGATGGGGAAGTCATTAACCTTCCTAGCATCTATTGCTATGGCCGCTTGAATGATACCCATACATTCCGCCTGAAAGACCGTGTTATAGGTACCCAGCGGTGTGCATATGTGAATATTGAGGTCTTCAGAGAAAGCTCCACAACCTACACCTTCATTTGTTTTAGAACCATCGGTGAAAATTCTAAGCTCTTTTGGGCTTAATCCTTCCGGCTGGCTGTTTTCATTTAACTGTATCTTGTATTTCTTATCGAAAACAAATTGTTTAGGAATCCTATCGTATTTGGCTTGTAGGATAGGAATTTTTGAGTGAATTCTATCAATTATGCCTGTATGAGGGACACTATTCTTACTCCAAAGATTTAGGGTCTTGAGTCTGATGGCAGCTAAAGTCGCTTCTTGTTGTATATGTAGATGAAGCGGAGTTAGCTCCAGCATCGCTTCTAAAGCTGCTGTTGGCGTAGTTCTCATGCAGCCTGTAGCAGCCATACATGCCAGTCTCTGGTAGCGCTGAAGCTTTTTAATTATGGTGGCTTCATTTGTCTTGGTCCACCATACCAGAGCGCCGTATGTGATCATGGGCCGAATTACAGTTTTGTAAAGCCACAGTATGATTTTTGGCGTCAATCCCCATCATTATAAGCGTTTACATATTTGTCAATACATTTGCCAATGCGTAAATAATATGTAATACTCATCTTAATTATATCTTACTTAGTAGGGCAATTACATTAGAAGATACTAATATTAAGAGTTCAACTTTGTGCTTATCCATAAAAGCCTAATAAAAGTCCAAACATTGGCTTCGATTATTTAGTACAATAAGAAACGATACCACTTAGAACCATACTGAAAAATATTAAAATATACTGTTAGGGACGGGAGAAAATGAAAATTATCAGCAGCTAAAAATGCGCCCGCTTCCCATGTAGATTGCCTGTAGAGGGGGGATATTTGCCATAAGTGTTACACTTGGCAAGCGAGTTGGCGAGTTGGTTAATTATCTGGAAGACGTTGCTGCACATCTCCTGGTTTGTTTCCCTCTGTCGTCTCTTACGATACCCACGAGACTTAATCACGAGACATTGGGTCCTTATACAAAAATAGAAACTCATAATCCTAATAATAAATATTAATCAAACGACAATTTTATAGTAGCAAACAACCAAGGAGACGGTGCCGCTCTCATCAGGTACATATTTGGCAACGATAATGAAAATGACGATGAAGATTTAAAGCCAAGTGCTGAAGATTTGGAAATATTCGCGGAATTGGAAAAGGAGCAGCAAGAGCGAGAAGCTAGGATTGCTAGAGGGGAAACCGCTGTTGATCCTATGGTATGTTAAATGATGTTCTCCAGAGCAAAAGACACAAAACCACATGTAAATGCAATAAATAAATACATTTTGGTCACGGCAGTCAGTCTCAATGGATACTAGCCATCTGCACATGGCAAGATCATAGTGCACGAGTGTGTGCACAAACACATGTGGACTCTTTATTCCCACATTCTCATAGTCCGATGAACATAGTCTCACTGAGAACTTCTTGACCGGTAAATTCAATAAGCGCTTGCAGTAAATTTCGTAGTACGCGGGCAACCTAAGTTCGATGTCCGCCGGCACCAATGACATTGTTAATCACAATTTGAAGCGCTGATTCACCACGTGCTCGGCTCTAAAGGAAAACTTTGTGAGGGAACCTGTATGTTTGAGGAATAAAATATTGCCAGGAAATGTGAATTTCGCCAACACGCGATGAAGTAACGCGGTGGTGTATAAATTGTACATATTCTTTAAATAATGTTACGAGCTTGGGGTTCGAGACAATTAAAAGCTGCCGAGTTCATTACCAAAATTGACACTTTAATTACAGAACACTAAACACTAATTACAACTTAACACCACACTAATAACAAAACACAATTGTACTACTGATTACTTTAGTTCGCAGTTGTATCGCTTCGAAGTATTCGCTTGTATCGCCAATTCAACACTGACTCCGGTCGCGGTCTATACCGGCCTTATATAGGGCCTCAGATAGTTCCAGAATCATCTACTGTAGAAACATCTAGAATGTTCTAGTATATACCAGTCCCGATTGACTAGATGTCGATAGTTATAGAAAGTTTTTCCATAGAAATTTTTAGGTCTTGTCTCTCTTAGTTCTGCCACTCGATACTAGAGGGCGTTAGTGGTAACTTGTGTTGCCAGGCATTAATGGTGCCGCTCAACAATAATAATATTGATAATAATATCAATTCCATCTGATTGGGTTTTATTTATTTATGTATATTTTATTGATATATTTTTAATATATCAATAAAATATATATTAAAAATATACCTACAATAATGTAAATGTAATAATATTACTAATTGCCAATACTTGCAGTAGTGCCCTTGCAGGTTTTTGTTTTGAACTATTTTTTTATAATTAAGACCAAATGTATACAACAAGAATAGCCAATGAATGAGGGCTAATAGTCTTTCGCTCACCAGATGTCGCTAGTTGACACCGAGGTGAAGTTTTTTGTTATACAATGACATTTAATTGAGAAGTTAGTTTCTATTAAAAGTTTATGTTTCTAGAGTGTTATATTAATACACAAAACAATGCCTCAGTGGTTTGCTTTTTAATTTTTAGCACATTTTTTAAATATTTCTACTTTTAGGAATATCTGTGGTTTTGTTTATTTATTTTTAATCTAGTTGATATTAAATGTAATTCATAGTACAGAGAGAAACACTAATCTTTACATTTTTCAAAAACATGAACTTCCCCGCTATGAAATTTGTCAAATATAACACCTCATTTTTTAAGTGGCGCCGCCGTGGGCTTGGCAGAAAAATTTGTGGATGCCCTCATTGAATTGAATTGCATTGAATATTTCACAATCTGCAGAAACTTTACGACAAAGATGTCATGGAAGCGTACCACAAGGCGCAGGAGTGTACACCTGCTCACGAGCTGCCGCAACCGAACAAGTCGAACGTCACCACGTACAAGCACGACAACGCTTTTGACAGAATTGCCCTCAGCCAGCTCACCGCTGGGGATAAGCCGGGTAAGATTGAAACGGTTTATCATTTTGCAACAATCATCGTCATTACAGCATATCAAAGTGTACATAAATCGCCTCATCAAGGGGATATTTGCCAAACTTGCCAAGCTTGGCAGCTTCTTATTAAGAAGCCGCTGCTGCCCATCGCCTGGTTTGTTCCGTTTGATGTCTCTTACGACACCCATGGTTCTAAACAGGTTAAGATGAAACCCGCAGGTAGTCGACGGATCGTATTTTGACTAAATCTATGGGGAAGGCATGTGCATAGCAGTGAGTTTATGATGCAGTTAGTGACGATGAAGGTGACTAGGTTTTTTTTTAATGGATAAGGGTGACAAACGAGCACACAATCCACCTGATGGTAAGTAGTCGCTGTGGCCATAGACATCTACATCTATCCTCGACTACGAATCAAAATGCATATGCGTTGTCATCCGTGAGGACTAAGATGGAATGCCTTGGTTCCAGTAAGAGGGGTCTCTGGTTTTCTATACTCACCATACGAAACACAGCAGTGTTAAGCTGCTTATTTTACGCTGGTTTTCTATGAGAGCGAGGTCCTTCCCCGGTCGAGCTGACCCATTCGTGCTACAACTACACTAATATAGCTGCAGCATGGCTCTACCACGTGTAAGGATAACGGTAAACAGAAATGACAGGCTATGAGGTATTCCATGTTATTCGTCTTAGTTCTCAGATATGATAACGCTACTAGAGGCCTTCATTGTTTGAAGTTGTTGCGGCTGTGGCTCGACCATGAAAAAACTCTTTGACCGATACTAAAATAATATTACTTCCATAGTATCTTGCGCAGTGTACTTTAAAATATATATTCTTCTTTCAAAGTTTACCTTGTAGTGGCGGTGTAAGAATATCCATTAGGGTCTTATAAACATTACACCCACACTAGGGTTTTCTCCTGTATCGTGGAGGCAGTTTACAAACATATATTGCACGAGAACAATCATCCTGACCCGGAACAATTATTTGTAAGTCATACAAATACTTGTTCCATGCGGGATTTGAACCCGTGACCCTCAGCGCCGCAACTCATTGCTAAGCCACTGCGCCACGTAGCCGTCGCAACGTGTCGTTACCCTATCTTTTTAGTGACCACAGATTTACACAATGATTTATCAAAGATATTATTGCCAACCGTTACAGCCTATTAAAGTCCCTTAGATTACACCTTAGTTATATTGATATTTGCCTTAGTTACCATCCTTGGCAAGCGGCTGCCAATCGCAGTTTTTTTATTTTTAGTCGTTATTAGGAAGACGCTGCTGCCCATCTCCTGATTTGTTTCCCTTTGTCAACTCTTACAACACTCGGGGTGATATGGGGTAGTGGATATTAGGTATTATACCGCCACCAACATGGTAATCTAAAAAAACCAGAGTCAGTCACAAGGACTGCCGACAGAAGTGAAAACTGAATCATGTAGACCAGTGACGTATTTAAGTGAAAACTTATGCCTGAACATACTCGTACACATAAAATATGATAGAGACGAATTGAAACATCCTCCTTTTTTAAAGTCAATTAAAAATGAATGGTAATGATATATAATTAATATCAGCGTAAAATAACAGCTTATTGCTGCTGTGTTTCGTATGGTGAGTGTAGAGAACCGGAGACCCATTTTACTGGAAAAGAGGAATTCTATCTTAGTTCTCACGGTTGACAACGCATCTGCATTTTAATTCGCAAGCGAAGATAGATGTAGATGTCTATGGGTCACAGCAACCACTTACCATCAGGTGGACTGTGTGATCCTTTGTCACCCTTATTCTATAAGTAAATCTCAATATTAAATCACCTGATCGTTACGAAATTTATCACCACTCTCTTCCCAGTTTTTAATGGAGAAGTTGCATTAATTTCTTTTTACCACAAATTTATATATAAATGAAAGGATAATTAATTTAAAGTACGTTTAAATATTTATTTTTTTTAGCAACAATTCTATTTCCTAAAAAAAAAATAGTTAAATTTTATAAAGAAAAAAAAACTACTTGTGTTGTTGTGACGTCATTATATCCGTTGAGGCTGTGAGTCAATCGCAATCATGCTTTTGTATTTTCCATATTCGGGTCACCATGTGTCATAATAAAACATATATATGCAATTTGCACAATACAGGAATGCTGTGCCGACAATACGAGTAACTGTAAATAGATAGAACGAACTCCCTTTTGGGGGCAATTTTAGTATTTTTAGTATTAACTTATGATTACACTTGAATTGTCTTTGATCTATCTTATTTATTGTATCATTATAATTATATTTTCATTTTGTTTTTAACATTTAACATTTATTGATATTTGAAATGGGTGTAAAAAAGCCTGAAATATATGACTATTATTATTATTATTATTATTATTATTATTAATAATTTTTTTTTATTTTGACAACGTAAACATGAGTGTTTTATCATTTCACCATGCGGTGGCGTTACTAAAGCAATATAATGACGTCACTGGCGTTTGAGTTTACATTTTAGAAAACTACAATTACATGAAAAATCATTTGAAAATTTTTTTGTTAATTTTTCTTAATAGTTATTAGTAAACTTTAAAAAAAATTAAAATACTTACAACTTCTCTATTAGCGTTTATACCCAACAGTAACCAGTAACCACTTAGACTAACCACACTACAGCATTCAGAGCCCTCCTGGATATGAATGCTGGATATGGATGCAAGAAGGATTATGTTCTGTGCCTAAAATTGAAGATTGAGCATTAACTAGTAAGAAGTAAAGGATTAAAAATTTCCTTATTTCAGACGAGAAAAAATATAAACTAACGCAAGTGCCTGGCGCTATTCTGTTCCAGTACGTCGACAATGAAATGGAGTATGAGATCGGAGAAGAGACTCTCAATTCTTCTTGTAAATAATTTTTTTTTCTGTCTTCTTTTACAACAATGATAATGGATAATGAAATATAAAATAGTTTTTTTTAATAGAATTTGGGAGAAAAACGAGCTCACAGTCTATCTCTTAGTAAATGGATGCTGTGGCCCATAGACATTTACATTTATCTTCAAATAAGTATCAAAATACAGATGCATTGTCACTCTTGAGGACTAAGATTGAATGTTTCATTTCCAGTAAAAAGTATCTCAGGTTCTCAACACTCGCCATACGGAACACAACAGCTTTAAGCTGCTATTTTACGCTGTGAGAGCGTGGTCCTTCCCCGGTCGAGCCGGCCCATTCGTGCTACAACCGTAATAGCTTATTCAGATCGCAAATTTTGAAACACTGATTTTAGGAAAACGTGCTATAAGTCAGCCTAATCCTAGAAGATTTTCTTTATAATTTCTCTGGTATTATTTATTAAGAGGAGCTGGAATTAGAGCGGATCTTGGATACGTAATTTTCTCATATTGAGTGTAATAAATTTCCGCAAACTAACGCCTGATTCTATAAACTATCTACACCAATCCAAAAGAACACTCAAAACTTTAACATGAGAGAAATTCATTAAAGAAGTCAAAAATCTTTCAGCTACGTCGGAGGACTCAGTATCTCTAAATGAATCCAGGGATACGGATTCAAGTGACGAGCAAGATGGACATTTTAAACCAGCAAAAGAAGGTGTAAGGACTTTTAATAGACCAGCTACAGCTAAACCTACAGTCAAGTCTGCTGATGATAGTATGAAATCAGTGGATGACGATATCAAAGTATTTACAAAGGAAAATGCTGAACTAGACAACAAAAATACAGAGCCTGTGAACGAAACAGACAAAGGTAAAGGTGAATGTATGAAAATCACATTCGAAATAAGTTTTTATCTTATAATTAGAAAGTTGCGGAACTATACTTCGCCTGCCTCGTTGCTCCAGTGGCCGTAAGCGCGAATGATGATCATATAGTCTAGGGATCGAAATCGAATCAGTTATTAGGTTTTTGAAGCAAGACATTCTTAGTAGCAGGCTGGAATCAGTAAGCTGGCGGTGTTTTACCACCGTGCCAAGGAAAGCCAGTAAAGCAGTTTATTATCTCTATATATTATCTCTCCGTTCGTGTCGGATTACTGTTCCATCAGACTATGAGAGTGAGGGAATACAAAGTGCAACTGTGCTTGCGTATACTCTCGGGTATTATAATCCTATCCTCCACTGATGGCTAGTCTAAATTGAGACTGGCCGCCGTAACCGAAATTCGGTTTAGAGGAAATATACCGACCGCCTTCAGTTGTTAGGGCTTGAAATATCCTCAAATTTTAATTTCGGGCGGTTCATTGAGTCCAAGGCCGAAGCAGCTGCAAAGAAGCTGGGAGTCCTTGCAAAGGTGCGGCGATACTTCACGCCGGTACAGATGCTTACTTTATATAAAGCGCAAGTCCGGTCGTGCATGGAGTATTGCTGCCATATATGGACTGGTGCTGCAAAATGCCACCTAGCAGCTTTGGACTCCATGGAAAGGCGTGCTAAGAGGCTTATTGGTGACCCGAATTTGTTAAAACCAATCTTACCAGCCTCGAACACAGACGTAAAGTAGCCAGCCTTTCGGTTTTCTACAGGATGTATTTAGGAGAGTGTGCGCAGGAATTGCATAATTTAATTCCTCCCTCTCCCTTTCACCATTGGACAACCAGACGTACGGCCAGTCTCCACCCTTTCGTTGTTGACTTACCACGCATTCGAACCAAACGGTTCGCCACGTCGTCCATCATGCGTACAGCAAAGAAGTGGAATAAGTCTTTCCATCCGATTACAGAGTGGGTGTCTTCAAGGCAAGAGTGAATAGGCTTTTGTTAAGTCATCAGTCAGTCGCTTCACCATCTTAGGCTACATCAAAATTTACCATCAGCTGGGATCGTAGATAAGCGCTGGCTTAGTAGAATGTTAAAAAAAGGACATAATAGCATTAATTGTAATTATTTGTTTTATTTTTGAACCGTGGTCTGTTGTCGGGCTGGTGCAACTGATGATGAAAATATAATATAATATTAGAATCAACAACAGCAATACCATAAAATATCTTCCTTTTGCATGTTTCTGATAATATCTCAAAATAATAAAAAACTGCGGTTACCGTTCCGGCTGCTATGCGTGGCAACTATGGCAAAAATCTCCCGTATGAGGCAAGCTATGGGGGAGCCCTATTTTGAGCAATGGAATTTTATAGACTGTTATTTTTATAGAATGGGGGTGACAAACAAGCACACAGTCCACCTGATGGCAAACGGATACTGTGGCCCATAGACATCTACATTTATCCTCGATTAAGAATGAAAATGCAGATGCATTGTTACCCCTGAGAACCAAGATGGAATGCCTCTTTTCCAGTAAAAAGGGTCTCCGGTTCTCTGCATTCACTATACGAAACATTTTACGCTGATATTTTGTGACAGCGTGGTCCTTCGCCGGTTGAGCTGACCCATTCATACTACATCCATAATATAGCTGCAGCGTGACTCCTCGTAAAAACTGTGATCGGTTAGAATCAACAGATGCAACGGATGGGACTGAGGACGTTCCAAAGCCTTCAACTTCTTTCTCTGCAATGCTGAACGTGGACCGCGACGAAGCCAAGCAGTCTATAATCAACACTATCAACTCCTACGATGACGACAGATTCCCTTCTCATGGTGAGTTTGATGTTAATTTGTATTTAAGTTTTATTTATGAGACCCTTTTTACTCTGAACTAGGCAATCCATCTTCGTCCTTTGGGATGACAACGCGTTTGAATTTTTAATCGAGGGTAAATGTAGATGTCTATGGGCTACAGCATCCACTTACCATCGGGTGGACTGTGTTTGTCATCCTTATTCTATAAACAAAATTTCTTGTAAATACCAATTTTTTTCAATAATAATTACACCTACTATATCTCTCTAAAGTTCTGGAAGTCTGTGTTTTTAAGCAAATATCTATATTCACTGCAAAACATAACCTGCTGAATGAATTTCAATCGGGGTTTCGCTCTGGTCACAGCGCTACCACTTCGTTATCAAAGTCACAGACGATATAAGAAAATGCTTGGATGAGCAGAAATTAACAGTGGTAGCGCTTATTGAATTTTCAAACGCTTTCAACACGGTAGATCATGGTATCCTCCTATCTATCCTCAAACACTTTAAATTTTCATCCCCAGCCTTGGATTGGTTTTTTCCTTATATTCGCGGCCGACAGCAATCGGTTCGTTCAGGTCAGCGTTTTTCTGCATAGGCTGAAATTGAATCTGGTGTGCCTCAAGGCGGAATACTTTCACCTATGTTTTCCTTATTTATAAACTCTATCTCCTCAGTTTTAGATTGTTCGTACCATCTGTATGCGGATAATCTTCAGCTCTATGTGCAGTCAGGCTTAAATAATTTTAACTTTGTAATACATAAACTAAATAATAACCTGGAAGCCATAAGAGAATGGTCGTGGAAATATGACGTTTCAGTTAATCCAGCCAAATACAAAGTCATAATCTTCGGAAGTTCGCAATTATTGGCTAATTTAATAGATTAATAGATTTAATAAATTAATATGAATGACAAGCTCGTGGAAACTGTCCATGCGGTCGGAGCTAAGTTCTGCAAGACCCGCCGCAGAAGAACACAAAAACTCTCCGATCACACTCTTAATCTCATGGCTGTTAGACGGGAGATGAGGCTACATTCTTCAACAGACTTGACAGCATACAGGCATCTGAACAGACAGATCTCCAAATGCATGCGGCGGGACTTACGCAACTTCAATACAGCTCGTATTGAAGAAGCGATCGAGCGGAACCAAGGCTCCAAAGTCTTTGCCAGAGATCTATCTGCCAGAAAGAGCCAACTGTCAAAGCTGAAGACAGAATGCGGCAGCATCGTTTCCGGGACACCTGAGATTTTGAGTGAGATTGAGAGGTTCTATGGGCAGCTGTACACGTCATCGTTTGAGCCACACGCAAGTGTGAGTAACGATCCAAGAGCGAGTCTCATCCGACACTATTCCGAAGATATCCCGGACGTCAGTCTGAGCGAGATTAGAATGGCTCTCCAGCACCTTAAAAACGGTAAGGCCCCAGGCGAGGATGGAATTACAGCGGAGCTTCTGAAAGCGGGTGGAAGACCGGTACTTGGAATCCTTCAGAAGCTCTTTAATTCCGTCCTCCATGGAGGCATTACACCGGAGGCGTGGAGCAGAAGTGCGGTGGTCTTGTTCTTCAAGAAAGGTGACAACGCTCTCTTGAAGAACTACAGACCGATTTCCCTTCTGAGCCGCGTCTACGTGCTGTTTTCGAGAGTCATTACGAATCGTCTCGCGCGCAGACTTGACGACTTCCAGCCTCCCGGACAAGCCGGTTTCCGAAAGGGCTTTAGCACCATAGACCACATACATACCCTTCGGCAAATTGTACAGAAGTCCGAAGAGTACAATTTGCCACTATGTCTGGCGTATGTGGACTATGAGAAAGCCTTTGATTCCGTCGAAATTTGGGCGGTGCTGCAGTCCCTTCAGCGGTGCCAAGTTGACTGTCGGTATATCGAAGTGTTGAAGTGCTTGTACAGTAGGGCTACGATGGCTATCCGAGTACAGAATCAGAGTACGAAACCTATCCAATTGCAGAGAGGTGTAAGACAGGGTGACGTCATATCCCCGAAACTCTTCACCGCTGCATTGGAAGACGTTTTCAAGCTTCTGGACTGGAAAGGATACGGTATCAACATCAATGGCGAGTACATCACTCACCTTCGATTTGCCGACGATGTAGTCCTTATGGCAGAATCGCTGGAGGACCTAAGCACTATGCTCAATGACCTCGATAGTGTTTCCCAACGGATAGGTCTTAAGATGAACATGTACAAAACAAAGATCATGTTCAATGTCCATGTCACACCTATGCCGGTAGTTGTTGGGAGCACTAAGCTCGAAGTTGTTGACGAGTATGTTTACCTGGGACAAATAGTCCGACTAGGTAAGTCCAACTTCGACCGAGAGGTCAATCGACGGATTCAACTCGGCTGGGCAGCGTTCGGGAAGCTACGACACATCTTCTCGTCAGACATACCTCAAAACCTGAAAACGAAATTGTACAACCAGTGCGTGTTGCCAGTGATGACTTACGGAACTGAGACGTGGTCCTTCACTGCTGGCCGTATGAGGAAGCTCAAGGTCGCTCAGCGAGCTATGGAGAGGGCTATGCTCGGAGTTTCTCTGCGTGATAAACTTAGGAATGAGGATATCCGCAGTAGAACCAGAGTAACCGACATAGCCCAACGGATTAGTAAGCTGAAGTGGCAGTGGGCCGGCCATATAGCTCAAAGAACCGACAACCGATGGGGAAGAAAGGTTCTCGAGTGGCAGCCTCGTACCGGTAGGCGAAGTGTAGGGCGTCCCCGCACGAGATGGAGTGACGACCTGGTAAGACATGCAGGAAGTCGATGGATGCAGGTGGCTCAGGGCCGTGCTTTGTGGCATTCTTTGGGGGAGGCCTATGTTCAGCAGTGGACTTGTGAAGGGCTGTAATGATGAATGATGATTAATAGATTAATGTTTTTTTTTAATTTTTTATTAAATTTTTTTAATAATTTTTTAATAGATTATGGAAATCTCTATTCTGTAATTTATAATGGAACTTTGATTTCTTATTGTGATTCCATAAAAAATCTTGGCTTGTACATGGACAAAACCTGGAAATTGCAGATCTCTGAATTAAATCGTAAGGTTGTTGCCACCTTGCGTTCCCTTTATCGTATTAAAAATTTTCTACCTTCCAAAGTCAAGCTTACGCTGCTGGTTCATTTCCTTATTCTACCTTTTACCGATTATGCAGATGTATGTTACACAAAATCTTCTAAACAAGTTGGAGCGCCTTCTTAATAATTCCATAAGGTTTATTTTCGGTTTACGTAAGTATGACCACATATCTTCCTATCGTTCAAAGCTTAAATGGCTACCTATACGTCAAAGGCGATGCTCTAGAATTTTACTTGATATTTATTCAATTTTAAATGATCCAAGGTCGCCTTCTTATCTTAAGGATAACTTTCATTTTCTTCATTCGATTGACGGTCGAATATCACGACAATCAAACTGTCTGAGGATAAGGTAAGGTCTAATTTTTCCAGGTCCACTTTTACGATATAAGCTATACGGTTTTGGAACACCCTTCCCAATGATATTGGGAATGCAGCAAATATAACCTCCTTTAAATTACTTGTACGACATCATTACCTGAGGGCAATTACTAACTGACATTATTTATCTTTTTTTTCTTCAAATATTTATTTATTTATATATTCATACGGATATTTATTTATAAAGTTTATATAATGTATACACATTACATATATGTTACTATCTATATATTATATTTTAATATAATATTATGTACACTTTATTTATATATTATGTTTCGCACCTGCCAACAACTGACTTTGGTACCCAGGGTTGACTGGCAGAGAATGCCTCATGGCATTAAGTCCGTCCTATATACTTACCCTTTACCTTAAGGTGTTACATTTAAGTTTTTAAATAAATAAATAAAATACTTCTAATCTATTTATATAGGTATATAAACAAGAGTTTTTTTTTTACTAAAGAATTAATATACCTAGGTGCCACGTTCTTTTTTTCATATTCCTACACTATCATCCGATTCTGAGCTATGTGCAAAATTCACGTGTTTAGCTCATTGGGAAGTGCCTGAAATTTGAATTACAAGATTCCATCCGGAAGAACAGACAGACTGACATGTCTGACAGACAGACAAATAAGAACACTTTCTTATTTGTCTGTCTGTATTGTCTGTTTATATTGGTATTATAGAAAACATAACTGCCATTAAATAAGTATTTGCATCACAACACTAGCACAGCCTGTGACATGGACTTCATTCCCCCAGGAACGAACTACGCCGATATGGCAGAGAATTCGCGCATTGAAGAATCCGTGGCTTCGGAGATTCTCGACCGCACCCTGAAGTACGAAGAGCAGGAGTTTTACCGACAGTACGATCTGATGAACAGTCACGCCGGCAAGATCGACAACAGAACCAATTCTATAATTGAGCACATTTCTGATCAACTGGCCCACGAGTACTCTGTAAGTAGTTTACACGTGGTAGAGCCATGCTGCAGCTATATTAATAGTATAGTTGTAACACGAATGGGTCGGCTCGATCGGGGAAGGACCACGCTCTTACAGAATACCAGCGTAAAATAGCAGCTTAATGCTGCTGTGTTTCGTATGGTGAGCGTAGAGAACCGGAGACCCATTTTACTGGAAAAGAGGCATTCCATCTTTGTCCTCACGGGTGACAACGCATCTGCATTTTGATTCGTTAACGAAGATAGATGTAGAAGTCTATGGGCCACAGCAACCACTTACCATCAGGTGGACTGCGTGCTCGTCTGTCACCCTTATTCTATATAAAAAAAGTGTATCGAGGTATGACGTATAGTGTCGTCAGGGAAACCATCACTTCATATCTTCCCGTGGGTGTCGCAGGAGGCGAATGTTTGGGTGAGATATGCTATATGACAGATAGCGATATTTTCATCATCATCGTGATCGTCATGAGGCATTGTTCGGATTAATTCTAGCCGAACGATAAAACTCGCGATACCATCCATTCCATCTGGATGGCAGGCGGGCCACCACTGCTATTTACTAGAAGTTATTCCGAACCCATATGACTTAGGGACCTTCGAGAAAAGAATCTTTCTTAAGTCTGTTCTGTCTGTCAGTTAACGTTACAGCCTGTTGAAGCCCACTGCTGAATATAGGCCTCCCCTATAGATTGCCTCATAGGGGGGATATTTGCCATAGTGGGATGATGGATTACTTCGAGTTTCAGTACTCTGTGATCATTACTATACTCCTTGGTTGTAGTTTTGGTCAAGTTTGATCTGGGTAAAATTAACGAATCTTTCACGATTGACACCATGTCTACCTCGTTATCCGAAGGGGAACATAATATATGGCGGTGTACTTTTACAGACTGATGATAAAGATGTCCCATTCAGAGAAAACGTAAATTGTAATAAATTGGCGTAACAAGGAGGAGATAAAAATTAAAACTCAAAATGGAAAAGCGTTTTCATTCGTTCATTTATAACTAGCGACACGCCCCGGCTTCGCCTGGGTGCGATAATGTGGCGTCATTTAGGTTTTTTAAAATAATTTATCAATGACCATTTATTTTATAAATTTTTAGATTTCACAAAAAATACTCCAATTTTTTTTTGGATTAAATAGAGCTTAGATCACTCCTGGCATAGCTCTCTAACCTTAACTTATAAAATACTTACAAAGTGTTATTCCTGTCTTAGCGGCGTGCGTGGTGTTATTTTGATATTACAGACAGACACTTCAATTTTGTTTTTATGTATAGTTTTGCAATGTGTTTTGAAATATTTATACGTAAGCCCTTCTATGTTACTCATGATGCAATCAAATTATCGGGGTATCGAACCATCATCATCATTAAAGCCTTTCATAAGTCCACTGCTGAACATAGGCCTCCCCCAAGGAATGCCACAAAGCACGGTCCTGAGCCACCTGCATCCATCGACTTCCTGCATGTCTTACCAGGTCGACACTCCATCTCGTGGGGGGTCGCCCTACACTTCGCCTACCGGTACGAGGTATACGATACGCCTACCGTATCGAACCAGTGTTTACTAAATCAAAAATTCTTAATTTTCATAGCTGCCGGAAGTTTCCCGTGTCCTGGAAGCCCACATGGAGGCAACGGAGCAACGTTGGCGTGCTGGTGAATTCGTCCCTTATGCTTTAGAAGATAGCCCTCCAGATTCTATAGTAGAAGACAATGAAACCACTTTGATACCAAGTCACGATTCGACTTTCGAAGACACTTTAACTGATGACTTCAAGGAACAGGACGTTGTGACAACAACAGAAATAAATGAATCTGGAATTACTAAAACGACTGATAAATCAGTATTTGATAACATTGATGAAAGGAGTAAAGATTTAAATAAAACGTCAGCTAAAGATATTGTGATCGATGAACAGAAAGTTGACGAAAATGAGAGTGTTGATGTTTTCGAAGACTGTGTCAGTATCACTGATACAAAAATACCCGATAACAACAAAGATGAATTTGATCGTTCAGAAGAGACATATACGCTGGAAATGAAATTGGCGTTAGGCCGTGATGGGTAGAGTTTTAATGTTGCAATTAATAAAGTAGTAGGCACTAATAGAACCGACACCAAGTAATATTATTGTATTACGGAATTTATGTAGGTGAAAAAGTGAATTAGCAATTTGAAATTATTGAAGATTTGTTAACGGTAAGAGGTCAAAAGCGTAATCAAGACTGTCATTTCGCATTATACAATTAAAAGGATTAGGATTCTATTAAAATCTTATATAACACTTTAAAAGTTTATCTTTTGCTCGAAAATACTTACGCGAGTACAGTTGATTATCACTTACTTAAATTAAGTATTTAGTTATCACTATACCTGTCTCTTTCTATAGTTATTTAGTGGAGAGAGAGAGAGAGAGCTACTTTAAATATTTTTAAAATAGAGTTCGATTTTTTTGAGTAAGGCCGATAGTTTCTAAAATGTTACGTATAAATGTTTTGTAAGTGGTTTGTCTTTTTTATAAACTTGATTCAAACATATCACATTACAGCCGGGCTATTCACAATCGTCTCGGAAAGCGAAATCGACTCGGATTCGATAACTTCTCGCACCGAAACCAATAAACGCTATTCACATTTAACGTTCGGATAAAGGTCACTTAGATACATCCTATAACTATTGTATCGTCATTTACTTACATGCATTTACGAATTTTGTAGATAAATAGGCTTTTGTATTTTTTTAGAGTAACGCCTGAACAAAAATATAATGCAATATATAATTTAACTATATAATAAATAACAAAAAACTGAGATATGTCTCGTTTCTTTCGGGTCTGGTTTTTTTTCTATGGGGCGTGACCGTACTTCTTTGACGTTTGTTTTCGATAATTGTGACAGTTTGCATCGGAAACTTCACGAGAGCTCTGAGGCTGGCGAAAACTTTTCGAATATTGATGATTAGAACAGATAAATAAACCCTTTTAATTATAAGGTAGGTAACAAAAATTAATTACAATTATCTATAAGACGTATTTTCATATAATTACTTCATATAATTACACAAAGCAGCATAAATATATATATATACGAGACATCTCAGTTTTTTATTATTTATTATATAGTTAAATTATATAATTTTTATATTCGATATCAATGGCTAACACCAAAATATTGCATTATATTTTTGTTCAGGCGTTACTCTAAAAATATACAAAAGCCTATTTATCTACAAAATTCGTAAATGCATGTAACTAAATGACGATACAATAGTTATGGGATGTATCTAAGTGACCTTTATCCGAACGTTAAATGTGAATAGCGTTTATTGGTTTCGGTGCGAGAAGTTATCGAATCCGAGTCGATTTCGCTTTCCGAGACGATTGTGAATAGCCCTGCAGATTTAGCTTTACGACTCTTGTAATATGTCTTTTTAATGTTATCTTAGTGTCATCTTATTTCTTTTAAATTGCTTTTCATTTTTATTTTAGAGTATTCTATAATGAAAACATAGGTATACTTTTGAATTTGTTGGAAGAATTTTTTTGTTTGATTTAAATACTTAACAATTAACAATAAAGTAAATAGCGTTGAAGTCTGAAGTTTCTATTTCACTTACATACTCTAATCTTAATGTTACAGCTGATTTTTCAATCGTTGGTTTTACAGAAGAGGGACATTAGAGCTATTTATACCTTAAAACCGAGAGAGTCTCTTAAAGAAAAAATTAAAGAATTAAATATATTAACAAGTTCATATATTAACAAGTGTTCTATACGTGGTAGAGCCATGCTGCAGCTATATTGGTAGTATAGTTGTAGCACGAATGGGTCGGCTCGACCGGGGAAGGACCACGCTCTCACAAAATACCACTGCTGTGTTTCATATGGTGAGTGTAGAGAACCGAAGACCCTTTTTACTGGAAAAGAGGCATTCCATCTTAGTCCTCACGGGTGACAACGCATCTGCATTATGAGTCTTTATGATTTTATTTCGATTACGGGGACCGATCGTGAGTTAAATTCGTGATTTTCGTACTCGTGGTAAGTTAACGCTGTGACTTGGCAAACACGTTACGTATGAGGACAGATGTAGATGTCTATGGGTGTGCTCGTTTGTCATCCTATCCTATAAAAAAAGTGGCAGATTGTACTCTGTGGTCTTCTGTACAATTTGCCGAAGGGTATGTATGTGGTCTATAGTGCTAAAGCCTTTTCGGAAACCGAATTGTTCGGGAGGCTGGAAGTCGTTGAGTATGCGTGTGAGACGATTCGTAATGACAATCGAAAACAGGACATAGATGTAGTTCAGAAGAGAAGTCGGTCTGTAGTGCTTCAAGAGAGCATTGTCGCCTTTCTTGAAGAACAAGACCACCGCACCTCTGTTCGACGACCTCGGAGTAGTGCCACCATGAAGGACGGAATTAAAGAGCTTCTGAAGGACTTCAAGTACCGGTTTTCTACCCGCTTTCAGAAGCTCCGCTGTAATTTCATCCTCGCCCGGGGAGCCATTTTGATCTCGCTCAGACTGACGTCCGGGATATCATCGGAATAGTGTCCGATAAGACTTGCTCTTGGATCCATCGATGACGTATACAGCTGCCCATAGAACCTCTCAATCTCACTCAAAATCTCAGGTATCCGGGAAACGATGCTGCCACACTCGGTCTATAGCTTCGACAGTTAGTTCTTTCTGGTAGACAGATCTCTGGCAAAGACTTTGGAGCCCTGGTTCCGCTCGATTGCTTCTTCAATACGAGCAGTATAAAAGTTGCGTAAGTCCCGACGCTTGCGTTTGGAGATGTGTCTGTTCAGTTGCGGATTTTATTAAACAAAGGTTTATTTTATTTGTCAAAGGCGATAATGAAACTGATCCAAACCTAAATTTCATAGGACATAATCATTATTATATATTTTTATATGTCGATTTACCACGTTCTCGGCGGTGAAAGAAAACCTGCATATCTGAGTTCTTCATTTGAAGTGATCGCGCGCTGGCACTTTTTTTGGCCAAAAAAAGGGGCCTATGCCCAGTACATGTACGTAGGCTGCTACTTTTTAGATTTAATGGGGCAATTATGCCGTTTTATTTCATTCATATTTTCGGAGATGTTACTTTTTGTTTTCACACTACCGTAGTACCGTAGAAGCAAAGATTCTAAAGAATAGAACTCATCATCGTTATCATTATAATCTATCAAAAGTCCACTGAACTGAACATAGGTCTCCCCCATAAACTGTCAAATAGGAGGATATTTGCTATAGTTGCCACGCTTGGCAGGCGGGTTGGCAACCGCAGCCTTTATTATTTTGAACTGTTATCAGTTAGATGATGTTGCCCATCTCCTGTTTGTTTTCCTCTATCGCCTCTTAGGACACACACGGAACGATATGAGGTGGCGGATACTTTTTCGCCGCCACGACAAGGCGAACATTTTTCTGCCGAGTTTTTATTTTACTCACGTTCACTGCGAATATAACTTCATTCGCAATAAAATACAGTGTCTTGAATTCTTGCATTAGTATTTTTTTTATAGGATAAGGGTGACAAACGAGCACACAGTCCACCTGATGGTAAGTGGTCGCTGTGGCCCATAGACATCTACATCTAATGCGTTTTCACCCGTGAGGACTAACATGGAATGCCTCGTTTCCAGTAAAAAGGGTCTCCGGTTCTCTACACTCACCATACGAAACACAGCAGCGTTAAGCTGCTATTATACGCTGGTATTCTGTGAGAGCGTGGTCCTTCCCCGGTCGAGCGGACCCATTCGTGCTCCAATCATAATATATATGCAGCATGGCTCTACTACGTAGTATGCTTGGGTTTGGATTTCATTTTATTAATTATGGGATCCCCAAGTAGATGGTAGCACCCAGCCATCTTCTCTATTGAAGTTAGGATGTTTTTAATTTCAATAGCCTCGCGAATCATCCTTGGTAGGAATCGGTGTTTTATTGCGAGGATTTGTTGTCTATCAGATCTGATACAATGATTGGGACGATACTAAACATGTTGACATACTTCAGACTTCTCGGAGCGTCGGTGCTAAAGCACAAGAACATATTGCAGATGTGAACATCAGCAATATGTTCTTTCACGCAAATTTTTATGGAACTTTCTGCCAAAGATGTGTCAACACGCTTTAATAAAAGTTAAAATGTAACGTGATTTACTAACGCATGTGTAGTATTCATCATTATAGAATTTTGAAGTCTACTCGAACGTAGAAAAAATATCAGAATCTATTTCATGGTGCCAATCAACATTAAATGGTACCAATGATATGAATCTAATATCACATATAAGACCATGAAATCATTATTTTGTTAAAACTAAATTAACTTTAATTATATGAAAGAGTTAATAATAATAATAATTTTTTGAGTCCAAGACAATTTATCTTTCTTATGGATACATCGGAAGACAGGTCCAAGTCCACGCGAGCGCAGCCGCGGGTAAAAAGCTAGTTATATATAAAAGCAGACTGACATGGGTACTGTTTAATAGCAAAGACAGTAATTCATTTATGGGGCAATGTATACGCTTTTACAACAAAATCCCAGAACATATTCAAAGTTTGTCAATAAACAAGTTTAAAAGTTTTATTAAAGAAAAACTGTACAAAAAGGGTTATTATAATATCAAGGAATACTTGAATGAAAATAAGCCCTGGGAATAGGGTGATCGCCACCATGTTTTGCAATGTGTTTTAAAATATTTATACGTAAGCCCTTCTATGTTACTCATGATGCAATCAAATTGTCGGGGTATCGAATCATCATCATCATCATCATTAAAGCCTTTCATAAGTCCACTGCTGAACATAGGCCTCCCCCAAGGAATGCCACAAAGCACGGTCCTGAGCCAACTGCATCCATCGACTTCCTGCATGTCTTACCAGGTCGACACTCCGTCTCGTGGGGGGTCGCCCTACACTTCGCCTACCGGTACGAGGTATACGACACGCCTACCGTATCTAACCAGTGTTTACTAAATCAAAAATTCTTAATTTTCATAGCTGCCGGAAGTTTCCCGTGTTCTGGAAGCCCACATGGAGGCAACGGAGCAACGTTGGCGTGCTGGTGAATTCGTCCCTTATGCTTTAGAAGATAGCCCTCCAGATTCTATAGTAGAAGACAATGAAACCACTTTGATACCAAGTCACGATTCGACTTTCGAAGACACTTTAACTGATGACTTTAAGGAACAGGATGTTAATAATAATAATAATTCTTTTATTGTCAAAAATAAATCACAAGAAATTTTATGAAGTCTCTGACTCCTAAACTAGACGAGTCTGTATCTTAGGAATCAGCGGCCTCTCCCAGAGTTGTACTAAAAGAACAACAACAGAAATAAATGAATCTGGAATTACTAAAACGACTGATAAATCAGTATTCGATAACATTGATGAAAGGAGTAAAGATTTAAATAAAACGTCAGCTAAAGATATTGTGATGTATTCTCTACACTCACCATACGAAACACAGCAGCGTTAAGCTGCTACTCGTATTATACGCTGGTATTCTGTGAGAGCGTGGTCCTTCCCCGGTCGAGCCGACCCATTCGTGCTACAATCATAATATATATGCAGCATGGCTCTACTACGTAGTATGCTTGGGTTTGGATTTCATTTTATTAATTATGGGATCCCCAAGTAGATGGTAGCACCCAGCCATCTTCTCTATTGAAGTTAGGATGTTTTTAATTTCAATAGCCTCGCGAATCATCTTTGGTAGGAATCGGTGTTTTATTGCGAGGATTTGTTGTCTATCAGATCTGATACAATGGTTGGGACGATACTAAACATGTTGACATACTTCAGACTTCTCGGAGCGTCGGTGCTAAAGCACAAGAACATATTGCAGATGTGAACATCAGCAATATGTTCTTTCACGCAAATTTTTATGGAACTTTCTGCCAAAGATGTGTCAACACGCTTTAATAAAAGTTAAAATGTAACGTGATTTACTAACACATGTGTAGTATTCATCATTATAGAATTTTGAAGTCTACTCGAACGTAGAAAAAATATCAGAATCTATTTCATGGTGCCAATCAACATTAAATGGGACCAATGATATGAATCTAATATCACATATAAGACCATGAAATCATTATTTTGTTAAAACTAAATTAACTTTAATTATATGAAAGAGTTAATAATAATAATAATTTTTTGAGTCCAAGACAATTTATCTTTCTTATGGATACATCGGAAGACAGGTCCAAGTCCACGCGAGCGCAGCCGCGGGTAAAAAGCTAGTTATATATAAAAGCAGACTGACATGGGTACTGTTTAATAGCAAAGACAGTAATTCATTTATGGGGCAATGTATACGCTTTTACAACAAAATCCCAGAACATATTCAAAGTTTGTCAATAAACAAGTTTAAAAGTTTTATTAAAGAAAAACTGTACAAAAAGGGTATTATAATATCAAGGAATACTTGAATGAAAATAAGCCCTGGGAATAGGGTGATCGCCACCATGCTGGTTCTATGAAAAATCATTTAAAAATTGTATAAACAAAATTATTAAGTGAAATTGTGTTTAAAAAAAAGTCCCGCTGGGTTTCTTGCTGGTTCTTCCCAGGACAGAGGTATTTTCCGAACCAGTGGTAAATAAAAAATGACTTTCAATAAGTTTTATGTAATAATCAATATTGAATAAAAAATTATTCTATTCTATTCTAGTACGTACAAGAGGGATTACGTACCTCTGCGTTTCGCTTGGTAAGTGCAGGTGGCCGGAGGCCTTTTTTACTGGAAATGAGGCATTCCATCTTAGTCATCACGGGTGAAAACGCATCTGCATTTTGATCTGTAACAGAGGATAGATGTAGATGTCTATGGGCCGCAGCAACCACTTACCATCAGGTGGACTGTGTGCTCGTTTTTCACCCTTATCCTATAAAAAAAAATTATAAGGCAGTACTTCACTACTATCCCAGCGGATCCTGTAAGGTGATGCAGCCCAAGATGGTAAAGCACATTATCACCTTAGCAAAGCCTATTAACTCGTACCTTGAAGACATAATCGGATGAAAATACAAATGCTGGCAAATTATTTATCTCCTCCTTCCACTCCTTTATTGTACTCATTATGAAAGACGAAGCAAACCATTTGGTTCGTAAGGCATGCACGTAAAGAATATAACCCTTTAGACACTGCAAGACATTAACTCGTTTTAAAATTAAGGCTCGAAATTAGGTAATAAAACCACATAATTATCAAACTACTTTATTTCATATTTTTCATTCAGTACGAAATACATTTCATTGCACTTATTTAAAATTTTTCAATAACAAAAAAATATCTTTGTTCTATAAAAAATATCTCTCTCGTAACGCTATATACATTGTCATGAAATAGAAAATTATGTTAAAAATACTTTTGTCCAACGTAAGGTGGCATAACGTTAAAAAAACTATTTACATTTTCCAATATTCTAAATTTAAAAGTAAAGTAAAATGTTTCCCGTCAACTTGACAATAAATGTGGCGCGAAAATAAAAAGGGTAAAAGGTATTAATTTATAAATATATATACAATTGCCTCGTGAGAAATATAAATTGATTGCTTCTGTTAATGGAAAAACATTGACAAAAATCGAAGAATGTATACATTTAATATTTTTAAAGTGAAATAATAGTACACAATTATCTCCTTTCACTCTTTTCCCTTAATAACTATTATTAGCAGGTTTGGCGGGTGTTCGGTTACCAAACTATTTAGTAGTACAGCTATTTTAGGGCTTCGATATCACAAATATACCGAAGTACCTATTTGCCAAACACTTTTATTAATTTACAAAAAATGCACCCGTGAAAAACACTCGAAACGCCGGAAATTTAAAAAAGTTTAGCTTTGATTTGACACACAAACACACACACACACACACACATATACCTTGCGTCTTTCTTTGTTGTTCTGAGAGGATTACGAACTGTTCCATTTAGTTCAATCTCAGCAATTCTTTCACCAGGCTAATTTTAGTAATTTGAACTGTTAAAGTGTATATTTCTTTGCTGTTTTGTTTCAATAAAAATATACACTAATTGTACTTCAAAAATATGTGCAAATTTTTACATTATTTACCTTTATTACGCTCGCTATATTAAATATATAAAAATTCTATCGCAATTATAAGTTAAATTGCTTCTCAGAGAAATTTTATTCTTTATTTATTTAATATTTAGCATAAATAATAATCAAAAATAAGAGCCGATTTTTCAATCAACATGTAAAATAAACTTTAATTCATATAACTGTAGTTTTAAATTAGTTTATGTTGTATTTTATACTAAGAATAACTTTTATCTAAGGGTTGAAAAATCGACCCTAAGAAATCTATATATAGTTGTCAAGAGAAAGCCTCAGAGTAATTTAGTATTAACATTACTAATATTTCTGTTTACAACTGTAGGTAACCTTAAAATGCTTGTGGTAGTAGTGGTTCACGAGAGTAGTGGAATGGAATGGAGAGTAGCGGATTCAAACTCACAACCTTTGAGTTTGCGGTCCACACTACCACTAGACTACTATCGCTTTTTGAATAAAAGAACCTATAAATATCTGTAAAAACATATTATGTTATTGTATTAATAAATACTTAAAGAAAAAGAACTAAAAAAATAATTATTTTTAGTTTAAATAAAATATTGGCACAATACGTGATGTGTTTATTGCCAGTTGATACAATAACATATCCACTTTCTTCGAATCAAAATTTGTATACAAAATAAACTTTGAAATTTTAGTTAACAATAATAACTTTTAAAATATATTTATACATTTATCTCTATACCTGATATATTCCACATAATTTCATGCAGCGTGATGCTTCAAGTCAAATATCTCCATTAACAATGGCTCTATTGGGTTAACGTCCAAATACACCCCTGTTAGTTCTTCAGCGAGCTTCCTAAGTTCCAAAATCTTCTGTATTAGTTTAAGGAACGTAGACTTTGCTTCACAACCTGGGTATATACTTTCTAGGTACCTCCGTAGGAGATAATAGTAGGAGTTCTGAAAGTAGAAATTATGGTAATTTTAAGATTACTTTATGTTAATTTTAGATTACTTTTTAATTTTAAGATTACAAAGAATGTTTTAAAAAGAAGCTAAGTCCAAAAACAAACTGCTATTGGGCAAAACAAAATTGGCTTCTTTTGTAGAATAATGGTGACAAACGATGATGATGATGCTGGGGCCCATAGACATCTACGTCTATCCTTGATTAAGAATCAAAATTCAGATGCGTCATCACCCCTGGGGACTATGATGGAATGCCTAGTATCCAGTAAAAGGGGTATCCGGTTCTCTACACTCACAATACAAAACACAGCAACATCGATCTTCTATTTTAAGCGGGTATTCTTTGTTAGCGTGGTCCTATCCCGGTCGAGCCGACCCATTCGTGCTACAACCATAATATAGCTGCAGCATGGCTTTACCACGTGTGACCTAATACCACAATACCCTGTCCTCCTGCCAAGGGAGATAGGATGAAAATACAAATGCTGGCAAATTATTTTTCTCCTACTTCCACTCTTTTGTTGTACTCATTATGAATACCCTAGAGATCTTCTTGGCATAACAGATGTAGTAGTTTTGATTTGAGCCCATTGAACAGTAGAGAGGATTTGACAAAATTGTTTCGCTTGGCAGGCGAAACTGACAACAGTCACACAGTTACAGATGTATCGCACGTTTGACGCTAGATGCTGTTGTCTGCTAGGTTAAATTTCTATCGGACATATGAGTTGGTTACTCTTTATATCTATCGGGGGCCACGAGCTCTTTCTAGCATATTCCAAAGTTACCTATTACAATAGCCTCGGGATTATGATGATACGATTTAGGGACCTTCAAGAAAAGAGCTTACACCTTTCTAAAAGGCCGGCAACGCATCTGCAATTCCCCTGGTGTTGCGATTGTTCATGGGCGGCGGTAGTCACTTACAATCAGGTGAGCCGCATGCTCGTTTGCCCCCTCTTCTATAAAAAAAAAAACTAAACGTGGTGATGGATTCACTTTCGCCACCAACATAGAAATAGGAAGTAACATATTGGCCAAATAATTTTGCTTCAATAAATAAATAACAATGTGTTGATTCATTTGGAGCATCATTTTGTGATGTTTTCGAGAGATTATTTTTTTTTATAGGAGAGGGGGCAAATGAGCATGCGACTCACCTGATGGCAAGTGACTACCGCCGCCCATGAACAACTGCAACACCAGGGGAATTGCAGATGCGTTGCCGGCCTTTTAAAAAGGAGTACGCTCTTTTCTTGAAGGTCCCTAAGTCGTATCGGTCCGCAAAAATTGCTGATGGTAATCGATTCCACAAAGAAGTCGTGCGAGGAAGAAAACATCTTCTAAATCGCACAGTGGTGGACCGCCAATCATCCAGATGGTGTGGATGGTATCGGGAGTTCTGCCGCGATGTGCGTTCGTGAAATTTGGCGGCTGGGATTAATCCGAATAATTCCTCAGAGCACTCCCCGTGGTAGAAGCGCAAGAAAATGCAAAGGGATGCAACATCTCTTCGCAGTGATGGGAACCAGAGATGGGAACAGTATTCAATGTGAGGCCGAACCTGCGCCTTGTAAAGTTGCAGGCGGTGTGCCGGCATGAAATACTATCCCGCTCTGCTGAGCACGCCAAGCTTTTTAGAGGCCAATTTGGCCTTCTCTTCCAAGTGACCACGAAACTGCACGTCACTCGATATGTCGACTCCGTGGATTCCGATACTGGCTGAGGCAAGAAGGGGAGTGCCTTGAAACTGAGGTGATACGACAAAGGGGTTCTATTCAACGGTAAAAGCGTAAACTTGTGTCTTCTGAGGATTAAACTGGACTAGATTTAGTCGCCCCTAATCCGAGACTTTGTACAGCAAAGACTCGACTTCAAACACAAGTTTGTTCCGGTACTCGGCGACGTTTCCCCGAGAAATATTGGCACGGCCGGTGTATAGAGCATCACCAGTGCTGTCATCCGCATAGCAATGAATGTTACCAGTTAGCAACATATCATTGATATGCAGAAGAAACAGCGTTGGTGATAGCACACAGCCTTGTGGAACACCAGCGTTAATAGGCTTGTAGTCAGAGCATGCACCGTCCACAACGACCTTGATGCTCCGATCTGCAAGGAAGCTGGTGATCCAATTGCACAATTTCTCGGGAAGGAAGGAAGGGAGCTTCGAAAGAAGCGCTTTGTGCCAAACCCGATCGAAGGCCTTCGCAATGTCCAAACTAACGGCCAACGCCTCCCCCTTGGACTCTACTGCCTCTGCCCATCTATGGGTCAGGTAGACCAGAAGATCACCAGCTGATCGACCCCGACGAAAACCTTATTGGCGGTCACTAACCAGCTGGTGGTTCTCAAGGTACCGTATGAGCTGGCAGTTAATAATGAAATCCATTATTTTGGAGAACAAGGAGGTGATGGCGATAGGCCTATAGTTGGACGGGTCTGAGCGGTCGCCTTTTTTAGGGATCGGGTGGACAAAAGCTGTCTTCCATGAATTCGGGACTACGCCTTAGGAGTAGGAGTACCGGAAAAGCCGCTTTAGGACCGGTGCCAACTCCGGAGCACACGTCCTCAGCACAATTGGGGGGATTCCGTCAGGTCCACTCGCCTTTGGGATGTCCAGGGAGAGGAGTGCTTTGCGAACCGAGCGCTATGAGAACAGCACATCTGGCATGGAGCACTCACACCGCGGGATGGTCTGCGGTGTTTTCCCCCGTCATCAAGACTCGAGTTGGACGCAAAAAGGGAGCCTAAAAGGTCGGCTTTGTCTTTTGCGGCATGGGCCAGTGAGTCGTTCTCTCTGTGCAGAGATGGTAGTGATGGCTTACAGAAATACTTTTGGACAGCCTTGGCAAAAGACCAGAATGCACGGGTTCCCGAAGGAAGGCGAACTAGTTTCTCGCCAATTCTGCCTATGTGCTCTGACTTTGCCCTGGCAATAACTCTTTTGAAGGACCTGGAGGCGAAGTTATACTTCTTTTTAAGTGTGCTGGTGTTTACATCCCGAGTCGCGGCTTGATAACACTCCTGCTTACTGCGTAATGCAGTCTTACAGGAGCGACCAAACCAAGGCTGAGATCTGCCTCCGATGGGTACTACAGATGATGGAATAAATAGTTCCATACCCTGTAGCACCACATCAATGACAGAGTCAGCAACAGCGCTGGGATCATCCGGCTAGCAGCAAACCCGCCCCCATGGGTAAGATGCAAAGAAAGACCGCATTCCGTCCCAATCCGCCGACCTGTAATACCAAACACGGCGGCAACCTGCAGAACGCAACTGCGAGGGGAGCGTGAATGGCACCACACTCCGGATCAGACAATGGTCCGAAGAGCCGAGAGGGGCATCGACGGAAACCTGATATCCGTCCGGATGAGAGGTCAGTAGAAGGTCCAACAGGGAAGGTGTATGTTCCTCCACATCTGGAATCCGCGTAGACGAAGTAACCAGTTGTGTCAGACCATATGCCAAGGCTAAGTCATAAACAGATCTCCTCGCATGATCGGTTAAACGTGAACCGAGCCATTCGGCGTGGTGGGCGTTAAAATCGCCAAGGACCACGATCTCTGCGGATGGGACCTGTTGTAGCAAGGAATCTGAAGCCATTTGGACGTGGTCGATGAGTCGGTCTGTTTCGGCATTATCGCTATGGGACCTATAGAGGCACCCGTAGACGCGCGGATGGTCGTCGCTGTCTACGCGTAGCCAACGGATGGACAGGTCCGAACCTTCAAGACTGCCGAGGCATCGAGAACAGATGTCCTCTCTGACATACACGCAAACTACAGCCCGAGGCACAAAGGCGTGCTCCAATTTGTACCCCGGGTAGGAGAGATACGAAGTATCAGCCGGAGAGGACACCTGCGTCACGGTCAGAAAGAGCAAGGCCGGCTTCGCCGTCTCGAGATGGTAGTGGACGGCGTTTAGGTTCGAATGAAGTCCCCTGATGTTGCAGAAATTCACGGATAGCGTGGCAGGGGTCGCCTTGGTATTGCTGCTCAGTTTGCCCCGAGCAGTTATGTTTTTGAGCGGAATTTTGCCCCCCCCCCCCCCCCCCAGAATACTCGGGGCAGCCTGAGCACCCACGCTCACGAGTAGAATAACATGTTCGTGGATGCTCAGCGAGGGATTCTCCAAGGGTGCTGGTACCCTCCTGGGTTAGTCTTTCGTGTAATTCCGCGTAGCTCTACCACCGTTAAATAATGACGGCAGCTTAAGCTAGCAGACAGTCCAGCAGATAGTATTTCAAGGCGCCAAAGCAGACATTAACTTGAGGTTGTCATCATCATCGGAGTACTTGTTAAATCGTTTCCACTAACATTTCACATGTGCGGACATTTAATACACAAAATCTCACCACTTTTTCGTATCAAAATCTACTTCAAACCATTTTAAAACTATAATGTCAGGTGCGATCGTATGCGGAAAGGGTGCGTTTATGTGCGGTTGAATGCTGGCGGCTGTGTTTGTATGCTGTCGAGTGCGCTTACATGATGAGGATCACGTGCTCGTCCACGTACTGCTTGCGGCAAGTGGTGCGGTCTAGTGCTTGCCACTCACGTACCTGCTCGAGCTTGATGACGTCGCGGTGCACGGCGCGCGCACGCTGCGGCGTGAACAGCAGGATGGCGCACATGATGAGGATCACGTGCTGCTTGCGGCAAGTGGTGCGGTCTAGTGCTTGCCACTCACGTACCTGCTCGAGCTTGATGACGTCGCGGTGCACGGCGCGCGCACGCTGCGGCGTGAACAGCAGGATGGCGCACATGATGAGGATCACGTGCTCGTCCACGTGCTGCTTGCGGCAAGTGGTGCGGTCTAGTGCTTGCCACTCACGTACCTGCTCGAGCTTGATGACGTCGCGGTGCACGGCGCGCGCACGCTGCGGCGTGAACAGCAGGATGGCGCACATGATGAGGATCACGTGCTCGTCCACGTGCTGCTTGCGGCAAGTGGTGCGGTCTAGTGCTTGCCACTCACGTACCTGCTCGAGCTTGATGACGTCGCGGTGCACGGCGCGCGCACGCTGCGGCGTGAACAGCAGGATGGCGCACATGATGAGGATCACGTGCTCGTCCACGTGCTGCTTGCGGCAAGTGGTGCGGTCTAGTGCTTGCCACTCACGTACCTGCTCGAGCTTGATGACGTCGCGATGTACGGCGCGCGCACGCTGCGGCGTGAACAGCAGGATGGCGCACATGATGAGGATCACGTGCTCGTCCACGTGCTGCTTGCGGCAAGTGGTGCGGTCTAGTGCTTGCCACTCACGTACCTGCTCGAGCTTGATGACGTCGCGATGTACGGCGCGCGCACGCTGCGGCGTGAACAGCAGGATGGCGCACATGATGAGGATCACGTGCTCGTCCACGTGCTGCTTGCGGCAAGTGGTGCGGTCTAGTGCTTGCCACTCACGTACCTGCTCGAGCTTGATGACGTCGCGATGTACGGCGCGCGCACGCTGCGGCGTGAACAGCAGGATGGCGCACATGATGAGGATCACGTGCTCGTCCACGTGCTGCTTGCGGCAAGTGGTGCGGTCTAGTGCTTGCCACTCACGTACCTGCTCGAGCTTGATGACGTCGCGGTGCACGGCGCGCGCACGCTGCGGCGTGAACAGCAGGATGGCGCACATGATGAGGATCACGTGCTCGTCCACGTGCTGCTTGCGGCAAGTGGTGCGGTCTAGTGCTTGCCACTCACGTACCTGCTCGAGCTTGATGACGTCGCGGTGCACGGCGCGCGCACGCTGCGGCGTGAACAGCAGGATGGCGCACATGATGAGGATCACGTGCTCGTCCACGTGCTGCTTGCGGCAAGTGGTGCGGTCTAGTGCTTGCCACTCACGTACCTGCTCGAGCTTGATGACGTCGCGATGTACGGCGCGCGCACGCTGCGGCGTGAACAGCAGGATGGCGCACATGATGAGGATCACGTGCTCGTCCACGTGCTGCTTGCGGCAAGTGGTGCGGTCTAGTGCTTGCCACTCACGTACCTGCTCGAGCTTGATGACGTCGCGATGTACGGCGCGCGCACGCTGCGGCGTGAACAGCAGGATGGCGCACATGATGAGGATCACGTGCTCGTCCACGTGCTGCTTGCGGCAAGTGGTGCGGTCTAGTGCTTGCCACTCACGTACCTGCTCGAGCTTGATGACGTCGCGGTGCACGGCGCGCGCACGCTGCGGCGTGAACAGCAGGATGGCGCACATGATGAGGATCACGTGCTCGTCCACGTGCTGCTTGCGGCAAGTGGTGCGGTCTAGTGCTTGCCACTCACGTACCTGCTCGAGCTTGATGACGTCGCGGTGCACGGCGCGCGCACGCTGCGGCGTGAACAGCAGGATGGCGCACATGATGAGGATCACGTGCTGCTTGCGGCAAGTGGTGCGGTCTAGTGCTTGCCACTCACGTACCTGCTCGAGCTTGATGACGTCGCGGTGCACGGCGCGCGCACGCTGCGGCGTGAACAGCAGGATGGCGCACATGATGAGGATCACGTGCTGCTTGCGGCAAGTGGTGCGGTCTAGTGCTTGCCACTCACGTACCTGCTCGAGCTTGATGACGTCGCGGTGCACGGCGCGCGCACGCTGCGGCGTGAACAGCAGGATGGCGCACATGATGAGGATCACGTGCTCGTCCACGTGCTGCTTGCGGCAAGTGGTGCGGTCTAGTGCTTGCCACTCACGTACCTGCTCGAGCTTGATGACGTCGCGGTGCACGGCGCGCGCACGCTGCGGCGTGAACAGCAGGATGGCGCACATGATGAGGATCACGTGCTCGTCCACGTGCTGCTTGCGGCAAGTGGTGCGGTCTAGTGCTTGCCACTCACGTACCTGCTCGAGCTTGATGACGTCGCGGTGCACGGCGCGCGCACGCTGCGGCGTGAACAGCAGGATGGCGCACATGATGAGGATCACGTGCTCGTCCACGTGCTGCTTGCGGCAAGTGGTGCGGTCTAGTGCTTGCCACTCACGTACCTGCTCGAGCTTGATGACGTCGCGGTGCACGGCGCGCGCACGCTGCGGCGTGAACAGCAGGATGGCGCACATGATGAGGATCACGTGCTCGTCCACGTGCTGCTTGCGGCAAGTGGTGCGGTCTAGTGCTTGCCACTCACGTACCTGCTCGAGCTTGATGACGTCGCGGTGCACGGCGCGCGCACGCTGCGGCGTGAACAGCAGGATGGCGCACATGATGAGGATCACGTGCTCGTCCACGTGCTGCTTGCGGCAAGTGGTGCGGTCTAGTGCTTGCCACTCACGTACCTGCTCGAGCTTGATGACGTCGCGGTGCACGGCGCGCGCACGCTGCGGCGTGAACAGCAGGATGGCGCACATGATGAGGATCACGTGCTGCTTGCGGCAAGTGGTGCGGTCTAGTGCTTGCCACTCACGTACCTGCTCGAGCTTGATGACGTCGCGGTGCACGGCGCGCGCACGCTGCGGCGTGAACAGCAGGATGGCGCACATGATGAGGATCACGTGCTCGTCCACGTGCTGCTTGCGGCAAGTGGTGCGGTCTAGTGCTTGCCACTCACGTACCTGCTCGAGCTTGATGACGTCGCGGTGCACGGCGCGCGCACGCTGCGGCGTGAACAGCAGGATGGCGCACATGATGAGGATCACGTGCTCGTCCACGTGCTGCTTGCGGCAAGTGGTGCGGTCTAGTGCTTGCCACTCACGTACCTGCTCGAGCTTGATGACGTCGCGGTGCACGGCGCGCGCACGCTGCGGCGTGAACAGCAGGATGGCGCACATGATGAGGATCACGTGCTCGTCCACGTGCTGCTTGCGGCAAGTGGTGCGGTCTAGTGCTTGCCACTCACGTACCTGCTCGAGCTTGATGACGTCGCGGTGCACGGCGCGCGCACGCTGCGGCGTGAACAGCAGGATGGCGCACATGATGAGGATCACGTGCTCGTCCGTGCGCAGGCGCGCCGCGAACGAGCGCACGAACGCCTCGTGCGAGCGGTACACGTCGCCTTTGGCCAGCTTCAGCACGTCCGTGTGGATGCTGCCGAACTGCTTCTGGCTGTGCGGGAGCTGTGCCCACGAGATACAAACGTCAGTTCGCTATTTACGGCTACTGATCATGCTCAATCTTATTTTAGGGTTGGCAGACGAGTCTGTGGTGTGGTTTTATTACCTCTGCATAGTCTGGGGAGTGAGAGGATTGTCAAAGACCCCGCTTTACTTAGCTTTAGCATCGGCTAGTGTCAGTGAGAGGTAATAAAACCACATAAAATTAAAAATATGGTCGAGTTTTTAAAAAACAGTTGTTCCTATAGGTTTGAATACTGATCCTGATAACGTGCTTAACGGGAACCATAGGGTTTTTGTTACATGTTGTATACAGGCCGTTTTTTAAAAGCATTATTAGAATATAAAAGAATCCTCTGAGGTGGTAACGCATCTATATTTTGATGTTTAATCGAGGATAGATGTAAATGCCTATGGGCCACTGCATCCAATATACATCAGTTGGACGAAGAGCTCGTTCGCCACCCTAATTGAATAATAATAAAAAATGCAGATACATTGTAGAACCCGTACACTAAAATGGAAGGCCTCATCACTAATAAAAAGGGGACACTTGTATGGTTCTCTACACTCATGATTCTGTGACAGAGTAATTCTTCTCCAGTTTAGCCGATTTGCGATAAGTGAGCAGTGAGTTACTATAAGCACAGCTGTGTAAGAATATCCACTACTCCATACCTTCCTGTGGGTGTCGTAAGAACCTACAGGGGGAACAAACCAAGAGATTAGCAGTCAGTTGCCGTTGTTTAATTTAGAGATAGCACGTGTCGGTAATAATTAAAACCAGTTCTGAACATCAGGAGTTACAAACAATTTGTGCTTAAGTTCATTTTCTATCAGCATTTTTTTTAATTAAAATATCTTATTTGTGCATTGTGTACTATGCAATACGTATTTCAATGACGGTGTTAAATGTGGATTGTGTAAAAAGCAACTTTGTTTTGGCTGCTCAGATATAACCGAAGCTGAGTATAGAAAGTTGGGTGTCGACCGAACGGCTGCGGGAGGTGTTCCTATTGCCGAAACCTTCTATTCGACCCTTCCACGCCAACGCCAACCACGTCACCACCGATCCCTACCAATGATGGGCGTGCTTCGATTGATTTGGTTCTGCAGGAAATAGGTGACCTAAAACTACAGCTTCACTGTCTACCAGCACTTAATGACGTGATAAGCATTAGGCGTGAAATAGAACTAAATCATCTTGTGAATTTAATAGTGAAAAAATAATTAAAAGTGAGTCCAGAATAACTGACCTTGAATTCAAGATACCTAAATTGGAACAAATAAAAGTAACAATTGACTCGACCCTCCCTAAAATATCGGTCTGAAAAAGGAGTTAGCTGCTAAGGAACAATGGTCTCAACAATGTCGAGATCAAGGGAGGTCTCCTGAAGGGAGATCAAAACCTTTTTTTTAAATGGTAGATAACATATGCACGCAAGTTGGTTACACGATCCCGAAACATCAAATAAATTACATAGCGAGGGTGCCGACATTTTGTTACAGTTGAATCTATTATTGTCAACTTCATCAACCCCTACATTAAAGAAGAATTTGTCGCTGCGGCGCGAGCCAAGTAATTCATGACAACGAGGGTTTGTGAGTAACCAACAACAGCTGTTTGATAATGACCATTAATGACAATGATGAATGATGTTTGTTGATTTGTAAAGATAAAACTTATCTACGTTTGAATAAAGTATTGCAAAATTCATGTTAGAAAAAACGATACTACGGGGGTTATAATTATCACAAGTGATAGTGATTTAAACAAGTTAGCTTAAACTGCCTCTAAACATATAAGTTGTTTAACTTAGGTCTAAATTTAATTATATATTGTTTAATTGTTTCTTCTGCCACAGGAAGTGAACTTGGTCTACCCCGACGATTCGACGAAAAATGAGATTGCCTTCATTATGACGACTAGACGACAACTGTTCAGTGATGTCTCCGTGATCGTGAAGGTGAAAAGTGGAAGCGATCACCGAATGGTTAAAGACACACTGAACTGAAACGTTAAGTTGGAAAGATCTCGTCTCATGAAGTTAACGCTCCGTCCCCCTTGTGCTCTAGTCCAAAGTCCCGAAACATTTCAGCTCGAGTTTTCAGTGCCTAGAGGACTGCAATGCAGTGGACTATATGAATGATAAGCTCGTGGAAACTGTACATGCGGTCGGAGCTAAGTTTTGCAAGATCCGCTGCAGAAGAACACAAAAACTCTCCGATCATACTCTTAACCTCATGGCTATTAGACGGGACATGAAGCTGCAGTCATGCATACATGCGACGGGTCTTACGCAACTTTAATACTGCTCGTATTGAAGAATCGATCGAGCGGGACCAGGCCTCCAAAGTCTTTTCCAGAGATCTGTCTACCAGAAAGAGCCAACTGTCGAAGCTGAAAACCGAATGTGGTAGCATCGTTTCCGGCATACCTGAGATTTTGAGTGAGATTGAGAGGTTCTACGGACAGCTGTATACGTCATCGATGGATCCAAGAGCAAGTCTTATCGGAAACTATTCCGATGATATCCCGGACGTCAGTCTGAGAGAGATCAGAATAGCTCCCCGGGCGAGGATGAAATTACAGCGGAGCTTCTGAAAGCGGGTAGGAAACCGGTACTCGAAGTCCTTCAGAAGCTCTTTAAATCCATCCTCCATGGTGGCATTACACTGGAGGTGTGGAACAGAAGTGCGGTGGTTTTGTTCTTCAAGAAAGGCGACAACGCTCTGTTGAAGAACTACAGACCGATTTACCTTCTGAGCCGCGTCTACGTGCTATTTTCGAGTCATTACGAATCGTCTCGCGCACAGACTCGATGACTTCCAGCCTCCAGAACAAGCCGGTTTCCGAAAAGGCTTTAGCACCATAAAAGCAATTTGTACAGAAGACCGAGGAGTACAATTTGCCACTTTGTCTTGCGTATGTGGGCTATGAGAAAAACTTTGATTCCGTCGAAATTTGGGCGGTGCTGCAGTCCTTTCAGCGGTGCCAAGTTGACTGTCGGCATATCGAAGTTCTGAAGTGTTTGTACAGTAGGGATACGATGGCTATCTGAGTCCAGAACCAGAGTACGAAACCTATCCAACTGCAAAGAGGTGTAAGACAGGGTGACGTTATATCCCCGAAACTCTTCTCCGCTGCATTGGAAGACGTTTTCAAGCTATTGAACTGGAAAGGATACGGTATTAACATCAATGGCGAGTACATTACTCACCTTCGATTTGGCGACGATATAGTCCTTATGGCAGAATCGCTGGATGACCTAACCACTATACTCAATTACCTCAACAGTGCCTCCCAACGGATAGGTCTTAAGATGAACATGGACAAAACAAAGATCATGTATAACGTCCATGTCACACCTATGCCGGTAGTTGTTGGGAGCACTAAGCTCGAAGTTGTTGACGAGCATGTTTACCTGGGACAAATAGTCCAACTAGGTAAGTCCAACTTCGACCTAGAGGTCAATCGACGGATTCAACTTGGCTGGGCAGCGTTCGGGAAATTACGACACATCATCTCATCAGGTATACCTCAAAACTTGAAAACGAGACTGTACAACCAGTTCATGATGCCAGTGATGACTTATGGAACTGAGACCTGGTCCTTCACTGCTGGCCGTATGAGGAAGCTCAAGGTCACTCAGCGAGCTATGGGGAGGGCTATGCTCGGGGTTTACCTGAGTGATAAACTTTTTTTTTATAGGAGAAGGGGCAAACGAGCATGCGGCTCACCTGATGGTAAGTGACTACCGCCGCCCATGAACAACTGCAACACCAGGGGAATTGCAGATGCGTTGCCGGCCTTTTAAATAGGAGTAGGCTCTTTTCTTGAAGGTCCCTAAGTCGTATCGGTCCGGAAAAATCGCTGGTGGTAAACTATTCCACAAGGAAGTTGTGCGAGCAAGAAAACATCTTCTAAATCGCACAGTGGTGGACCGCCAATCATCCAGATGGTGTGGATGGTATCGGGAGTTCTGCCGCGATGTGCGCTCGTGAAATTTGGCGGCTGGGATTAATCCGAACAATTCCTCAGAGCACTCCCCATGGTAAATGCGAAAGAAAATGCAAAGAGATGCAACATCTCTTCGCAGTGCCAATGAGCCGAGCCGATCGGAAAGGACTCTGTCGTCGACGATTCGAGCCGCTCTGCGCTGGATGCGGTCAAGTGGAAGGAGCTGGCACTGGGGAGCCCCAGTCCAGAGATGGGAACAGTATTCCATGTGAGGCCGAACCTGCGCCTTGTAAAGTTGCAGGCGTTGAGCTGGCATGAAATACTATCCCACTCTGCTGAGCACGCCAAGCTTTTTAGAGGCCAATTTGGCCTTCTCTTCCAAGTGACCACGAAACTGCACGTCACTCGATATGTCGACGCCGAGGATTCCGATACTGGCTGATGCAACAAGGGGAGTACCTTGAAACTGAGGAGATACGACAAAGGGGTTCTTTTTAGTGTTAAACGCGCAAACTTGTGTCTTCTGAGGATTAAACTGGACTAGATTTAGTCGCTCCCAATCCGAGACTTTGTCCAGCAAAGACTCGACTTCAGACACAAGTTTGTTCCGGTACTCGGTGACGTTTTCCCGAGAAATATTGGCACGGCCGGTGTATAGAGCATCACCAGTGCTGTCATCCGCATAGCAATGAATGCTACCGGCTTGCAACATATCATTGATATGCAGAAGAAACAGCGTTGGTGATAGCACGCAGCCTTGTGGAACACCAGTAGGCTTGTAGTCAGAGCATGCACCGTCTACAACGACCTTGATGCTCCGATCTGCAAGAAAGCTGGTGATCCAATTGCATAATTTCTCGGGAAGTCCATAGGAAGGGAGCTTCGAAAGAAGCGCTTTGTGCCAAACCCAATCGAAGGCCTTCGCAATGTCCAAACTAGCGGCCAATGCCTCCCCCTTGGACTCTACTGCCTCCGCCCATCTATGAGTTAAGTAGACCAGAAGATCACCAGCTGATCGACCCCGACGAAAACCATACTGGCG